TATCTGTTAATCCCAGTTGGGTCATTACTTCTATTAGACCCTTTGCTTCTTTGTTGAGTTCCTGTCTGGTATTCTTGTCTAGTGGTGAGAGTGGTGTGTTGAAATCTCCCACTATAACTGTGTGGGGCTTTAGATGAGATTTAAGTTCTAATAATGTTTCTTTAACGAATGTAGATGCCTTTGTATTGGGGGCATAGATGTTCAGGATAGACACTTCGTCTTGGTGGGTTTCACCTGTGATGAGTATGTAATGACCTCCTTCATCTCTTTTGATTGATTTTATTTTAAAGTCTAGTTTGTTAGATATTAGGATTGCTACCCCTGCTTGTTTCTTGGGTCCATTTGATTGAAAAATTTTTTCCCAACCTTTAACTCTCAAGTAATGTCTGTCTTTGAGGGTGAGGTGTGTTTCTTGTATGCAGCAGAAGGAAGGGTTCTGTCTTCGAATCCATTCTGCTAGTCTGTGTCTTTTTATGGGTGAGTTAAGGCCGTTAATATTGAGGGATATTAATGACCATTGACTACTCATCCTTCTTCGCTTTGTGATGGTTGTTGTTGGTGGAATTATGGGTGGAATTTCGCCCCTTTGTTCTTTTGGCTGTTGGTAGAGAGGGATTCTCTAATGCTTATGTTTTTCTGGTTGTAGTTAGCTTCCTTGGGTTGGAGTTTTCCTTCCAAAATTTTCTGTAGGGCTGGGTTAGTGGACACATATTGGTTGAATCTAGTTTTGTCATGGAATATCTTGTTTTCTCCGTCTATAGTGATTGAGAGCTTTGCCGGGTATAGTAGTCTGGGCTGGCATCCATGGTCTCTTAGTGTAGGTAGAATATCTATCCAGGACCTTCTGGCTTTCAGAGTTTCCATGGAGAAATCAGGTGTAATTCTGATAGGTCTGCCTTTATATGTTACTTGACCTTTTTCCTTAGCTGCTCTTAATATTCTTTCTTTATTCTGTATGTTTGGGGTCTTGATTATTATGTGGCGAGGGGATTTTTTTTGTGGTCCACTCTATTTGGTGTTCTGTAGGCTTCTTGTACCTTCATTGGCATGTCTTTCTTAAGGTTGGGAAAGTTTTCTTCTATGATTTTGTTGAATATGCCTTCTGCCCCTTTGAGGTGGATTTCTTCTCCTTCTTCTATACCTATTATTCTTAGGTTTGGTCTTTTCATGGTGTCCCATAATTCCTGGATGTTTTGTGTTAAGGATTTGTTGGATTTAAGGTTTTCTTTGGTTGATAAATCCATTTCTCCTAATGTATCTTCAACACTTGAGATTCTCTCTTCCATCTCTTCTATTCTGTTGGTAATGCTTGTATTGGTAGTGCCTGACTGTTTGTCCAGCTTTTCTATTTTCTGCCTTTCTTCAGATTGTGTTTTTTTTAGTGTCTCTATTTCAGTTTTCAACCCTTGCAGCGTTTGCATTGCTTCTTGCAATTTTCTGTTTATCTGTTCGTCCGTTTGTTGCCTTTTATGAATTTTTTGGTTTGTTCTTTCTTCCATTTCTTGCATTTTTTGGTTTGCTTTTTGTTCCATTTCTTGGATTTTGTGCTTTGTTTCTTCTTCCATTTCCTGCCTTATTTGGTATGTTTCTTCTTCTAATTCTTGCATTTTTTGCTTTGCTTTTTCTTCCATTTCTTGCATTTTTTGCTTCATTTCTTCTTCCATTTCGTGCCGTTTTTGGTTTGTTTTTTCTTCCAATTCTTGCATTTTTTGGTTTGTTTTTTCTTCCATTTCTTGCATTTTTTGGTTTGTTTTTTCTTCCATTTCTTTGAGGGATTTTCCAATATCCTCTTTTAGGGCCTCTATCATTTTCATGAAAGTGCTTTTAAGATCGTTCTCTTCTGCTTCCTTCGCGTTGGAATATTGGGGTCTTGCTGGTGTGGAGTCTCTAGAATCTGGCGGTGTCATATTTGTTTTTCTGTTGCTGACTGTGTTTTTGTATTGTCTCTTTCCCATCTCTTCCTTTAGTGGGTGCAGAAAGAGCCCCTTCCTGGTCTGGGGACCAGAGTTCCCTTTGGTGGGTGCTAGTAAGTCCAGTAATCTGGTGGTTCTTCTATGCCTTGTCCAAATGCTGGTCCGTGGGTAGAGAAGAAGAACAGGAATCTGGGGTGCTTAGCCTCCTACCTGGTCCCCTGGACCCTATGCCGGGTCCTGTTGTACCTGATCCGGAACAGCTACTCCCCTGGTCTCCCTGGTTCCTGTAGTTTCCTGGTCTCTTTGGTGGGAGAGAAGATCTGGAGTCTGGGGTGCTTGGCTCCCGCCGGGATTGGGAGCTCTGTGCAGTTCCCAGGCGATCTGCAGGCTCTGGAACACAGGCCGGGAAGCTGGCCTGTTTACCTGATGCTCCCGCCGGGATTGGGAGCTCTGTGCAGTTCCCAGGCGATCTGCAGGCTCTGGAACACAGGCCGGGAAGCTGGCCTGTTTACCTGATGATGCCAGAGGGACAGCTCTGGTATCTTTAATTTCTTTCTTGAATGACTCAAAGTTCTTGCGAAACAGGTCTTTCACTTGTTTGGTTAGCGTTACCCCAAAGTATTTTATGTTGTTTGTGGCTATTGTAATGGGCGATGTTTCTCTGATTTCTTTTTCAGTCCTTTTATTGTCTGTATATAGTAGGGCTACTGATTTTCTTGAGTTGATCTTGTATCCTGCCACTTTGCTGAAAGTATTTATCAGCTGCACAAGTTCCCTGGTAGAGTTTTTTGGGTCACTTATGTAAGCTATCATATCATCAGCAAATAGTGAACGTTGTATCCCCTTGATCTCCTTTTGTTGTCATATTGCTCTAGCTAGAACTTCAAGTACAATATTCAAGAGGTATGGAGAGAGTGGAGAGCCTTGTCTTGTTCCTGATCTTAGAGGAATTGTGATGAATCTCTGTCATTAATACAATATCATTTTAAGCATTCTATAAACACATTAAATTTTCTGGGAAGACTGTGTGGTCATATGCAAAGATACTTGAACATCTGAGGATTTTGATTGTCACCCTAGAAATAGCCAGCTGAATAGAATTAGGATTGTATGCGTGGATAATAACTTCTATAATATTTAATATATTATGGTAAAATATATAACCTGAGCTCCACCTTCAACAGGTTTTAAAATATACAAAAATGTATTGTTCCAAACCCTGTTAACAGATCTGCAATTTCTTCATCTTGTGCAAATGTAACATTAAGCTAATTGACTCACAATGTTCCCCTCCTCTCTTCTCCAGGAGAGAGCAACCTAGCCCTCTCTCGGTCTTGGAAAGTTTGAGATAATTCATATACATAGATCCATGGTGTTTACCCATGAATGACATATATTTCAATATTATCAAAGTTTGTGAAATGATTGCATTTTGTCGACTTTCTTTCATTTAAGTTTGATAATAGATGTCACATGTTTTCTTATCCTGTTGATGGACACTTAGATTGCTTCTACATTTTGGTCTTTGTGAATAGTTCTGTAATGGACATGGGTGTACTTATCTGTTGTTTCCAATTTTATTATTTTCACAAGAGAGGATTTTTCTGTATATTCCTGACTATCCTGGAATTGTTCTGTAGACTAGGCTGGTCTAGAACTGATAGAGATCTGCCTGTCTTTGTCTTCTGAGAGTTGGGATTATACCCGGTTTTCAATTCTTTCATGTTCTTGAGAAATCTTGGTTATTTCTTTAGAGGAGATAACAGTTTACATTCCCAGTGTTACAAGTTTCCTTTTTTTTATTTGGTTTTTACGAGACAGGGTTTCTCTGTATTGTTTCCTGAGGCTAACGGTCCAGCCCGGCCTCGAACTCACAGAGATCCGCCTGCCTCTGCCTCCCAAGTGCTGGGATTAAAGGCATGCGCCACCACCGCCCGGCCAAGTTTCCTTTTTTTAAACATTATTACTGGCAATTATTGCCTTCATACTTTTTTTGTAATAGCATACTGACAGATATATCATCTCATTGTGATTTTGGCTAACATTCTAATGACACGTGATAACATTGTGTTTTCTTTGTCTTGTTGTTTATTTATATTTCTTTTTGGTAGTACTATGTCTTGAACCCAGGTTCTTATTTGTGCCAGGGAAGGATTTTACTTCACTAGACAAGTTTCTGATTTCATTTCTTATTTATAGAAATGCCTACACAAGTCATTAGCACACTTATTTTGTTTGCTATTTATTGTTATCTTAAATTAGCATGAAATAATATTTTTCATTGTAGCATCTTCTCACAGTATCTGTTTTGTTCATGTTCAGCCCGTTATGTTTTCTATTTCTCATGATTCATCCCCACAGCCCCCAAACTCCCTGAAAATTGTCCCTTTCTGATTTTGTACTTTATACAAACATTTTATAGATAGATCTATATGTATATATTTGTATATAGACTTATGGTGTGTACAAGAGAGGCATGCAATGTCTGTATTTCTGTGCTTAGTCTATTTCATTTGGCATGATGGTCTTGAATTCCATTCAGAGTTTCTGGCTGAATAAACTTAACCATGCATATATACCACATTTTCTTTCTACATTAATCTTTTAAAAAGTATTTTTGGTTGTGAGCCTAGCCTTTAACGGCTGAGCCATCTCTCCAGCCCTAATATCCTTAAAAAGTATTTATTTAATGTGCATGGATGTTTTGTCTGCATATATGTATACAACGTGTGTGCCTGGTGAGAAGAGGGCATAGGATGTCCTGGAACTGGGGTTACAGATGGTTGTGAGCTCCATGTAAGTGCTGGGAATTGAACCTGTGCCCTCTGGAAGAACAGAGTGTCGTTAACCTATGAGCCATCCCTCCAGCCTCTGCCTCCATTCTTCTTATGGGCCTCTAGGCTGGGTCTGTATTTGACTATTTGGGATAGTTCAAGGATACCTTGGATGAGCACATCTCTGCTGTATGCTGATGTGAAGGCTTTCTCACACTTTGGTGGTTTATGAAAAACATCAGGAGTCAGTGAGAGTCAACTACACTCTTCCTCTCCTCAACTAAACTGTGTGCTTCCTTCTGTCTGACACTAGCAACATGCCCTACTCATTCGACTGGCTTTGCAAGGATGTGGTCAAAAAGCTTCAAGGCGAAGATCTGTGTCCTGTCAAAAGTCTGTCAAATGCGATGAAGTTCCGTCCGTTTGCGATACTGCAGAAGGATTCTAAAATACTTCCTTGGACAGTTCAAGATATTCCAGTTGGATATTCCCTCTTGCAGATCTTGGAGCCAAATTTTCCCAGCCCAGGTATTATTAGCCTAGGGGCAGAGAATTGTAAACATCAGTGGGCTGTGGGTGTCATAATGTTGGAAAGCATCCCAGACCCATGAGCTGCTCAGACAGGTAGCTCATGAGTCAACCCACTTAAAGACAAAGGACTGGAGGGTCCTTTAGGAATCCCCTCATTTTTCAGACCCTTCGTTGCATTTGGTCATATTGTATTCGAAGAGCCTCTTCAGATGGAGATATAATTCCCATTTTACAAAAAAAGTAATTGAGGTTCCTAAAACAGCTTGTTCGAAGTTACACAGTTCAAACTGGTAGAATTAGGATCCAGACTGAGGTCACTCTGCAAGTCCAAAACCTCTTTCTTTTTCAGGGTCCTGCCCTGGGGCTGGATTCTGTACTTGGAAATATGATTCCTGGAGACTCCTAGACACTGCCCAAATGATGCATTTCTTTTTTAAGGATTAAGACAATGCATGCATCGGTTCTGGAATTTCCCCTCTGTAGTAATTGATATTTCACATATTAATTGATTATATTTATTATACATAATTATTAGGTAGTTTCATGACTAAGGTTTAAGTGAGAAGGGGAACTGGCCTCATATTTCCTATTCTTTAGAGCAGCTGCCCCACAGTGAATTCTTAGCTAAACTCTGTCCTCTTTCCTCTTTAGAGACTGAAGTGTTACCCACCATGACCTTCACAAGCATTGTATTCCACGAAGTGGAGGGTGGTGTGGGTGTCCACGCCATTGCAGAGGGAAGTGTGTCAGCAGGGCATGGTCATTCCTCAGGATACGACATCGAGGTTCAGTGTACCAGCATCCCAGCTTCACAACTGGACATTCTTCAAAACAGGTGAAAGCATGAGTCAGCCAAGTTCTGGGATGTTTTCTCGTAGGTAAAGAGGCATTGGGAGAGTTTATGACAGCTCACATCATTCTCTTTATTTTCTGTAAGTCATTGAAATTATGGCTTACAGTACTGTAATAAAACTCATTAATACTTAATGACCCATTACTGTTCTCTTAATGTGATGGGGACAGAAAAACAACACAGACAGACTAAGGCTCTGATCTGATGGAAGCTTCTGTTCACTGTCCTGAGGATGGGCATGTAGGGAGGAAGAATGTTTGGATGTTGATAAAAATGTGAGGAAGACTGTAGTCATCAAGCTTTGGGATTTAGTTGCCTTCTACCACATCTCTTCTGAGGTATAATGTTGAGGTAGAAGTGTATGTTTTATGTGCCGCAGTTTGGTGTGATATATGCATGTAAGTCAGTCCATCTTATATATGCATATGCGTGTCAGTAACATTATCACTCCATCTGGTAAACATTTCATATTTTTCTTTATTACATTTATTTATATTCTCTCTCTCTCTCTCTCTCTCTCTCTGTCTGTGTGTGTGTGTGTGTGTGTGTGTGTGTGTGTGTGTGTGTGTGTGTGTGTGCCTGTGCTCACCCTCATGCCATGGCTCAAATATAGAAGTCAGAGGACAGCTTGCAGGAGTCAGATCTCTCCCTCTGCTGCGTGTGTCCTGGAATCAAACTCAGTCAACTCCACCTGTCTATGCTCATCCACCCTGCCAGCTCAGCAACTGCTATTGTGACAGCAAGAGCATTTCCTGTCTGCTGTCTCTGCAGACTCCAAGCACATGTAGCATCGTCAACTATAACCACATCGGGCTTTACCATGGTTCCTGGTGATCTGAATTCCTGTCCTCATACTTACATGGCCAGCACTGTATAGACAGGGCCACACCCCAAATTGAAGATGAAGTCTTCTGTTTTCTGTTGTTGTTGTTTAGTTTGTTTTTCTTTCTCATGATTTGGTCTCTGTGTCCATGAAATTAGTCATTTGGATCTCATCCTCATTTCCCTCCTTCAGGAAACTGGTGGAGAAGGAGCCATCGTTTATGAAGCATTGCCGGATTGGAAGGAAGGACCTGTATGTTGTGACAGAGGTCTATGTAGTGACCAGGGATATAGTGCTGGAAGACAGTAGCAGTGGCGACCTTTCAGGAAAAGTGCTCACCCCCCAGTTTTTCAAGGTATGGGATGGGGATGGGAAGAACACAGGAGTGTGGCCAGTGCACCTTTGCTTCTCAAGGGCTTCTGGGTACCGGTTTCTAGGGTTGAGAGGGTGGGGTCCTTGTTTTTCTCTGCTCCTATGTAATATATGTTAATCCCTGATCTTAGTTTGCTTTCTTTTCTTTAAACATAGTTTGTATTGATTCTTTGAGAATTTCACACCATGTACCCCAATCTCACTCATTTCCTAATTCTTTCACATTCACCCTTCATCCTTGTAACATCCCCCTAAAGGGAAACTTAGGGCCGGGCGTTGGTGGTGCACGCCTTTAATCCCAGCACTTGGGAGGCAGAGGCAGGCGGATCTCTGTGAGTTTGAGGCCAGCCTGGTCTACTGAGCGAGTTCCAGGACAGTCTCCAAAACAATAGAGAGAAACCCTGTCTCGAAAAACCAAAAAATAAAAAATAAAAAAGAAATAAAAAGAAAAATGAAAAACATAAGTAAGTATATTCATTAAACAAACAAATCCAAAATCAAAAGAAATAATAAAAAGAAAAGTTAAAAAATAGTGCTCGCTTCAGCAGCACATATACTAAAATTGGAACGATACAGAGAAGGTTAGCATGGCCCCTGTGCAAGGATGACACACAACTTCGTGAAGCGTTCCATGTTTTTAGATTCAAGCAATACGTATCCACTAACCCAGCCCTACAGAAAGTTTTGGAAGGAAAACTCCAACCCAAGGAAGTTAACTATAACCAGAAAAACATAGGCATTAGAGAATCCTTCTATACCAACAGCCAAAAGAACAAAGGGGTGGAATTCCACCCATAATTCCACCAACAACAACCATTGCAAATCGAAGAAGGATGAGCAATCAATGGTCATTAATATCCCTCAACATTAACGGCCTTAACTCACCAATAAAAAGACACAGGCTAGCAGAATGGATTCGAAGACAGAACCCATCCTTCTGCTGCATACAAGAAACACACCTCACCCTAAAAGGCAGACATTACCTGAGAGTTAAAGGTTGGGAAAATTTTTTCCAATCAAATGGACCCAAGAAACAAGCAGGAGTAGCAATCCTAATATCTAACAAATTAGACTTTAAAATAAAATCAATCAAAAGAGATGAAGGAGGTCATCACATACTCATCATAGGCGAAATCCACCACGATGAAGTGTCTATCCTGAACATCTATGCCCCAAATACAAAGGCATCCACATTCGTAAAAGAAACATTACTAAAACTTAAATCACATATGAAGCCCCACACACTTATAGTGAGAGATTTCAACACACCTCTCTCACCATTAGACAGGAATACCAGACACAAACTCAACAAAGAAGCAAAGGGTCTAATAGAAGTAATGACTCAACTGGGATTAACAGACATCTATAGAACATTTCATCCACATAAAAAAGAATATACCTTCTTCTCACCACCACATGGAACCTTCTCAAAAATCGATCACATACTTGGCAACATATCCAACCTCAGCAGCATCAAAAAAATTGGAATAACTCCATGCATCTTATCAGACCGACATGCTTTAAAATTAGAATTCAACAACAACACAAATTGCAGAAAACCTACAAACTCGTGATAATTGAATAATGCACAACTGCACCATTCCTGGGTCAAAGAAGAAATAAAAAAGAAATTAAAGACTTCTTAGAATTCAATGAGAATGAAGACACAACATACCCAAACCTATGGGACACTTTGAAAACAGTGCTACGGGGGAAGTTCATAGCACTAAGTGCCCACATGAAGAAACTGGAGAATAGTTATACTAGAGAATTAACAGCACAGCTGAAAGCTCTAGAACACAAAGAAGCAAACTCCCCCAGGAGGAGTAGATGCCAGGAAATAATCAAATTGAGGGCTGAAATCAATAAAGTAGAAACTAGGAAAACAATACAAAGAATCAATGCAACGAAGAGTTGGTTCTTTGAGAAAATCAACAAGATAGACAAACCTTTGTCCAAACTTACCAAACAGCAGAGAGTGAACATGCAAATTAACAAAATCAGAAATGAAAAGGGGGACATAACAACGGACTCTGAGGAAATTCAGAGAATCATCAGGTCATACTTTGAAAATCTGTACTCCACAAAATTTGAAAATTTAAAGGAAATGGATGACTTCCTAGATAGCTATCACTTGCCAAAATTAAATCAAGATCAGATAAGCAATTTAAATAGACCTATAACCCCTATGGAAATAGAAGCAGTCGTCAAAAGTCTCCCAACTAAAAAAAAGCCCAGGTCCAGATGGCCTCAGTGCAGAATTCTACCAGAAATTCAAAGAAAAGCTTATACCAATTCTTCTCAAAGTATTCCATGCAATAGAAGCAGAAGGGTTTTTGCCAAACTCTTTCTATGAGGTTTCAATAACCTTGATCCCCAAGCCACACAAAGACACAACTAAGAAAGAGAACTTCAGACCAATATCCCTCATGAACATTGATGCAAAAATACTCAATAAAATACTGGCAAATCGGATCCAAGAACACATCAAAACAATCATTCACCACGATCAAGTAGGTTTCATCCCAGGGATGCAGGGATGGTTCAACATACGAAAATCCATCAACGTAATCCATCATATAAACAAGCTGAAAAACAAAAATCACATGATCATCTCACTAGATGCTGAAAAAGCCTTCGACAAAATCCAACACCCCTTCATGATAAAGGTCTTGGAGAGATCTGGGATAACAGGGACATACTTAAACATAATAAAAGCTATATACAGTAAACCAACAGCCAACATCAAACTAAATGTACAGAAACTCAACGCAATTCCTCTAAAATCAGGAACAAAACAAGGCTGTCCACTCTCTCCATACCTTTTCAATACTGTACTTGAAGTTCTTGCCATTGCCATACGACAACAAAAGGGGGTCAAGGGGATACAAATTGGGAAGGAAGAGGTCAAACTTTCACTGTTTGCAGATGATATGATAGTTTACATAAATGACCAAAAGAACTCTACCAGGGAACTCTTACAGCTTATTAACACCTTCAGCAAAGTGGCAGGCTACAAGATCAACTCATGAAAATCAGTAGCCCTACTATATACAGATGATAAAAGAGCTGAGAAAGAAATCAGAGAAACATCACCCTTTACAATTGCCACAAACAACATTAAATACCTGGGGGTAACACTAACCAAACAAGTGAAAGACCTGTATTGCAAGAACTTTGAATCTTTAAAGAAAGAAATTAAAGAAGCCCTCAGAAAATGGAAAGATCTTCCATGCTCTTGGATAGGTAGGATCAATGTAGTAAAAATGGTAATCCTGCCAAAAGCAACCTACAGATTCAATGCAATCCCCATTAAAATCCCAGCACAATTCTTCACAGACCTTGAAAGAACAATAATCAATTTTGTATGGAAAAACAAAAGACCCAGGATAGCCAAAACAACCCTGTTCAACAAGGCAACGTCTGGAGGCATCACCATCCCTGACTTCAAGCTCTATTATAGAGCTATAGTCCTGAAAACAGCTTAGTATTGTCACAAAAATAGACAGGTAGACCAATGAAAACCCTGATATTAACGCACATATGTATGAACATCTGATCTTTGACAAAGAAGCTAAAAATATACAATGGAGTAAAGAAAGCATCTTAAACAAATGGTGCTGGCATAACTGGAGGCTGGCATGTAGAAGACTGTGGATTGATCCATGTTTATCGCCACGCACAAAACTTAAATGCAAATGGATCAAAGACCTCAACATAAATCCAGCCACACTGAACCTCTTAGAAGAGAAAGTGGGTGGTACCCTTGAACGAATTGGTACAGGAGACAGCTTCCTGAACATAACACCAGTAGCACAGACAGTGAGATCAACAATCAATAAATGGGACCTCCTGAAACTGAGAAGCTCTGTAAGGCAAAGGACACAGTCAGTAAGACAAAAAAGGCAGCCCACAGAATGGGAAAAAATATTCACTAACCCCACACCTGACAGAGGGTTGATCTCCATAATTTACAAAGAACCCAAGAAGCAAGTCTCCAAAACACCAAAGAATCCAATTAAAAAGTGGGCTGCAGAACTAAATAGAGAATTTTCAATAGAGGAGTCTAAAATGGCTGAGAGGCACTTGAGAAAGTGCTCAACATCCTTAGCCATCTGGGAAATGCAAATCAAAACAACTCTGAGATACCATCTCACTCCTGTCAGAATGGCTAAAATCAAAAACACCAATGACAATTTATGCTGGAGAGGATGTGGTGAAAGGGGAACATTCCTCCATTGCTGGTGGGAGTGCCAACTGGTTCAGCCACTTTGGAAATCAGTATGGAGATTCCTCAGGAAAATGGGAATAAACCTACCACAAGACGCAGCAACTCCACTCTTAGGCATATATCCAAAATATGCCCATTCATACAACAAGGATGTCTGTTCCACTATGTTCATAGCAGCATTATTTGTAATAGCTAGAACTTGGAAGTAACCTAGATGCCCCTCAACCGAAGAGTGGATAGAGAAAATGTGGCACATTTACATAATGGAGTACCATTCAGCAGAAAAAAAAACAATGGAATCCTGAGATTTGCAGGCAAATGGATAACACTAGAAGAAACCACCCTGAGTGAGATAACCCAGTCACAAAAAGAGAAACATGGCATGTACTCTCTCATATATGGATTTTAGACATAGATCTGGGGAGTGCCAGCCTACAATCCCACTGCCAGAGAGTCTGGGAAACAGAAACTTCATTCAGTGGCTGATGGAAAAAGAGGCAGACTCCCTTGGTTAAGTACTGAGCTGAACTCAAGAAAGCCAGTAACAGAGAGGGAGGACTGATGACCAAAGGAGTTAAGACTGGGCTGGTTTAACCCCAGAAACAGCTGACCTGACAAGGGTTAACTCTTGAATCCCAGGCTGATGCCTGGGAATCCAACATGGGACTGATCAAAACCCCCTGAATGTGGGTGTCAGTGAGGAGGCATAGGTAATCTATTGAGCCTTGGGCAGTAGATCAATACCCATCCCGAGTATACACATGGACTTTGGATTCCCATCCAACAATCTGAGATGAACTCTCACCCTGAACTCTTGTGCGGAGGGTCTATGCCCTGCCCTGGATGAAATGACAGTCTATGGACACCCTCATGGAGGGCCTCACCCTTCTTGGGGAAATGAGGGGATAATGGGGGAGTTGGGGGGAGGGCGCGGATGGAGGGGAGGGTAAGGGAGAGGGACCTGGAACTGACTTGTGAACCAACCATGTTTCTAATCTAAATTTAAACTTAAAAATAAAAAAATTAATAAAAAATAGAAACCACAAAAGAATATCAATTAAATACATAAAGAAAATCCCAAAACAAAGAAACAAATAAGCAAATTAAACAAGACAACCACAAAAGATGCTTGTCTCCTCCATCATTTTAGTCTCTCCATGCCCTCTTCATTCATCTTAGTGACATTGGGAGCCCCTGTATCCTGCAATATACTCCTTTATCCAAATGGCTTCATTTGCAAATGCTCATTGTTACTGGTCTGGTTCAATGTCTCTGGCTTCTGGTACCACAACCAATACTGGACCCTCACTGAAGTTCCTCTCAGATCCTGCTGTTCCAAGAGTCATGGTGATCCTGTGACTGTTGTACCACAAGACCAGTCTCTTCATGCACTCCAGCATATCATAGATGGGGTAGATATTTCGGTGGGTCAGCTGAAAGCCTGGGTGGCAGCTGATCTGGTCAGTTAGGCTGTTGGGATCATCCCCATCATGTGAGGGGCTAAGCCATCTTTCCCATGCCTGTGATAAGGGATGTTCTCAGATTTCCCCAATAAAAGGGGGTAGGTATTCTATGAGGGGTCACATCAGCAATGGGCAGGGTTAGTTCTCTGGTGTGGAAGCTGGCTCTCCCTGGGTCAGTTAAGGCTAGGGAAAGCTGGTTAGCTCAGTTGCTTAGACTGCTTTCTGATGCTCTCATTTATAATGTTTATTACATAGGATTAGCAAATATTGAGAAGTTCCACAATAGACATAATTGTTTGGTACCATGTTTTGTTCTGAGTGCAGGGTAGATGCTGCAGACACAGAAATGTGACCATACTGTGTGACCCCAAGACTGAGTCTCAAGCACCAATCAGGTCATCAAACACTGACAGTTGGGGTGATAGAGAGTAGAAAAAGATGCCAACTCGGCAAACACGTCAATATGGAAGTGTGATCAAATGCATTACATGTATATATGAAGTTCTCAAACATCAAACAGTATCTAAGAAAAGGAAAATTGTGCATAAAAATTAAAAGGATCTTAAATCCCAGGGAATTCCTAACTAGGATTCTATCTGGTTCAAAATATGAACGAAATGAAAGTTAAAGGTGTCCTTAGGAATTAGTGTTTTCAGGCATGTAGTTCCCAGCTCCCCAGAAGATAATAAGCAACAGGATAGAAATGACAAAGACATCCCACTGCCCGATAGAGACAAGACTGGGATGAGGAGATGCAGTCTCACCCACAGCTGACAGAGACTAAGCTCCTGCCCAGAATCCCAGGTTTGAACATGGGTGGAGCTGTCAGCACTGAGTGTGGAGTATGAGAATGAGTCCCTCAGTGCAGAAGGAGCCAGGAAATATTTGTTAAAATGAAGACATTGCAGCAGGGCTGGTGTATTGCTCAGGGACGGACACTAGCCTGGTATTCGTGGTGCTCTGGGTTCTGTTGCCTGGCCTCTCCAGGCTCACCTCCCAAATCTCAGTGTAGGTAAATATTGTCCTAAAGGGGGAGAAGCAATAACTGAACACGGGGACCAGGAGGAAGGGGAGTGAGAGACTGCTGGTGTTTCCTCATGAACTTTCTAGATTCATTTGACTTTTCAGTTACAGGCATTGTTGCTTTGATTAAAGGTAAACATAATTTTATGAGACAAAGAGTGGTATGAATCCCTAGGAATGTTTTGTCTCCCCAGGCTCAAGTCCAGGGACGTTGGCAAAGGAAGACAAAGAATTCAGTATCTATCCCAAAGGGTGCAGTGGTGGCCTACAAGAAGAAGAAACTGGTCTTTGATGATGACACTTGTGGTGAGCAGATGAGGGACCAAGTTGGGATGGTGTGTCCAAAGACCTGAACCTCCTCTTCTCTCCTGACTGTAGATCTGGAGGAGCAACTCTCACTGTCCCAGGCACATGTCTCTCCATCCTTAGACACCTCTAAGTATGGCCAAATTCCATTACTGCTATCTGTAGATGCAGAGATAGCCTCCTGTGAGGGAAGACACCCAACGTGCAGCTGTCGAGATAGATGAAGCCCAGGCTCAACCCCAGCCATCTCTAGTCATCCATGTCTAGCTAGTCAAAGTCCTGTGGCTCTCAGAAGCTCAGCAGGGTGACACCAGGCCCACCAGGTGATCTTTAAACCCCTGATAAATCACCATAAAATAATGGAATCAGAACCCAAATGAAACTATAGGCAGAATGCATGGACAACACAGCACAGGATTTTCTCCACAGCACAGGATTTTCTCCACGGCTGTTACTTGAAGTGTACCCACCCCACAAACACAACCATTTGAAATACTTACCTTGTAAATTCTGGTCAAGGGAAATTCCCAAGTAAATCTCTTAGTTGGTGGCAAAGACAAGGAAGAATTTACAGTGTAGTATAACTACTGGATGATGGATTCTAGAGAAAGATTGTCCACACTTTCATTGGCATCGTTGACAGAGTCATAGGGTGGGCACAGATCAGTACAGTTATATTGGATGATGGCTTCTAAAGAAAGATTGTCCAAACTCTATTGACCTCCTTGACGGAGTCATAGGTTGGGGACTGGGTACAGTATAGTACAGTTAGTGATTGATGGCTTCTAGAGAAAGATGGCCCACACTCTCTTGGCATCTTTGACAGAGTCATAGGATGAGGAATAGGTTCAAGGTTGCCGATGCCTTTGTAATGCCTGGGGGCGGGGGGATGCCCTTACAATTACAGATCATGCTAAGTGAAAAGAGTGTTCATTACTGATGAAAGAAAGTGAACACTTTATTATAAACATTGATAGCAAACAAGCAAACCAAATCTACCGATCTGATTAGATCAGATGTTGTTCCCAGAGAAGCAAGGCCATGTGTAGAGGCCAAACCCAGGGGATTTCCCTGGAAGATAAACTGTAAAGGCTGAGGTGGCATGGAAGGGAAATGTGATGTCCCATATAGAGGGTACTTAGCGGAGCCGAATAAAGGGGGGCATGTGAGAGAGGAGGTGATGATGGGAGGGGTTTCTGGGGTGAGGTCTGCTGAAGATGCAGAGAGTTGTTTGGTTAAGCAAAGAGCTTGGTGAACCTGAGGACTGAAGACAGTTTGGGGACAGATGGTTTGCCATCCCTTATTAAGTCCTTTCTGGTCTGTGATGAGGACTAAATTCCTGCTTGCCAGTGAGCACACTGTCCCAGCTGGGTCCCTCCCTGCTGTGCCTGATTGTGTAGACAAGATGCCCTGTTCGCCCCCTAGTGCTCAGAAGGTGACTTGCAGACACACTCTGAAGTTTGCTTTTTGTTTAACTTTGTTAGTTCACATGTTACTCTGGATACACTGCAAAACAATGCAGGATTGCCAGATGAGTGGATAAGGAGGGGACAGCTGGTAACTGAAGGCTGACAAGGAGCCGATAGGACAGGGCAGGAGGAAGCTGGTCAGCCTTACCTCATGGAGTGTTTATGTGTTCATTCCTGTTTTATGAGTAATGTTTAGTCTGCATTAAGTGTACTGTGTATATGCGATGCCCCAAGAAGGCCAGAAGATGGCGCTGCCATGTGGGTGTTGTCCTTTGCAAGAGCAGCAGTGTCTGTTAACTGTTGATCTGGCTTCCCTGCCCTCATGGGGAATTCTTGGATGTCAGAGGACTTGATGGTCACCTGGATGCCTATTGGGAATGCAGGTTTCAGGCTGGTGGGAGGGATTGGCTGGTAAAGGTGCTGTCCCCAGGCCTGATGCCTTGAGCTCCACCCACAGGTCCCACATGATGGAAGGAGATAACTGATTCCCTGTGTGGTCCTCTGACCTCTGCATGTGCTGTTAGCACACACACACACACACACACACACACACACACACGTAATTCAATAACTGTGAAACCCTGGTTCACAGGTCACAGAGGCTAGTGTCTAGGTTGACATCTTCCCTGGGGTTTGGCCTGAGAGTCCTGAAATGGGGAGTGGAGACTACAATAGCAGGTGTAACTTCATCTCTTCTAACCCAGTTTCTTTTTCATTCAGCCATTCTCCCTTTTGATAACTCCAAGAAGAAAACCTTCCCAGGTATGTTCCCTGGGTTCCCAAGTGTTTCTGTTGCCCCAGCTATGAGTGTTAGATCTGGAAGGATGGACAGACATTTGCTTTGTTGCACAGGATCTACCTGGCGATGGATTTATCATAGGGAATTTCTCGTGAAAGTGGAATTGCATCGTGAAAAGAGAGGGTGGATGGAGGAGTTGGGAAGGTCAGAGATGGGGAGGGATGGAGAGAGTGAGTCTTGGTGAGTGAACCCTTCTCTTTCTCTCTGCAGTCCCACAGACTAGAGGATTGCTAGGTGAGTGAATGCTTCTGTGTCTTGAAAGTCAAACTTGCTCCTTCATGGTGACAACCAAATAACAAAAACCCACCTGACTGCCCCTACCCAAGGTCTACAGATCTGGTCTTCTGCACAAAGGGTCAGGGTGGAGGATTGAGAAATTTCTGGGCTATACCAGAAGCAATGTCAAATACTAATTCTTGGGCGGGCAATGTATTTTCTCTTTCTAGTTTGTGAGATAAATAACATCTCTCCAATTGGTGAGTATGTGTCTGATGGGGTTGTTATGGAGATCTGGGCCATCTTACTGTGCCCCCCCTATCCCTGGCTCTGGTTCCTGCGGGAGGGTAAAGGTCATGGAAGACTGGATGGGGCAGGAGGAGAAGCAGGAGAGGGAATCTCCTACGTGTGTTCTTCTTTTCTAGGAAGGTTAGATGAACCCTTGCATAATGGTGAGTTTCTTTCTTTTGGGGGAGAGGGTTTGTGTGTGTGTGTGTGTGTGTGTGTGTGTGTGTGTGTGTGTGTGTAGTGTGTGTGTATGTTTTATTTTTTTCTTAAGGGAACATGGGCTGGGCTATGATCAGGAAACCCCAGGCTTGGAACTCATATGACAACTTTTTTTTTGAACCCAGAATATATTCCCCTTTTTAGTTAGTTTGACTCACACATCAACTGTCTGCACTAATGTTTCGTTGAGGATTTACCAGGAAGCAGGCAGCACTCCAGCGAGGGCAATGTGAAATAATCAGATGAGAGTGTCCATGCCTCTGAGCTTCCACTATGGTCTCTCTCTCACTCACAGATCACCTAGAGGACACTTGGCAAGAATCAGGGTTTCCCAAAACACAATGTTTGGCTATTTCTCCATAGACAGTAGAGATTCTTACTAATAAGACACTCTCTTAAGTGCCAGGTGCCTGACACACAAAGTCCATGACCCCTCATCATGTCCCCATTTGTCATTCTTGGAAACTGATTGGGAATTGCTGAGTGCTGCCATCTCTGGGGTCCAACAGGACACTTCCTTCCTGACATCCCAGAATGAACACTTTCCTCCCACCTGTGCTAAGCAGTTTTCAGGAATCCCATCTGCACTCCCAGGGCTGTGCCCCCTCTTTCCAGAGCTCTGCAGCTGCTTACTGTCTAGTACTGTTAGCTTCATGATATTTGCGTCACTGGGGCCCAGGAAGGGTATGCCTGTAGCCACTGGAAATGGTACTGCAGGTAAGGGCTTGCCATGTCGGGAATATTTAACTGCACAATTGCTCTTACTTTCTGATTCGTGTTTCTGTCTGTGAGCAGATTTCCAGCATCTACAAAATGAGATTTCTGAGAAAACAGGGTTACTGGCCATGCTTTCAAAGGACGTTCAACATGCTGTGTTCTCTAGTCTCCTGCCCATGCTAGGAGACAGGGACACTCTGTATGACCTGATGTCCATGGTGAGATTTCCATAGCTTTCTAGAGATGATCAAACCTGTAAAGGACAGTTTGGGTGATGGGGTGCCAAGATACATGAGGGAGGAGGGATGCCCATGGTATCCAGGAGACTGAGAAAGATGTCAAAGTCTGTGATAAGGGCTCCTTGTTCAGTGATGAGGGCTGGGGGTGGGTGCCTTGAATTCTGCTCAGGATCCCCCTGGGGAGGCAGAACCTTTAGTCTGTGCCTTGCATAAATCCTCTGGACATAGGCACATGACACCATAATGGTTTTGAGCCTGATTGGTAGGCTGAACCTACTTTCAGGAAGGTTACAAGTTCAAGGCCTTCCTGGGCTACATAGCAGGTTTAGAGCTGGTGTGGACAACAGCATGAGACCCCGTGATATAACAGAGAAAAATGGAGATAATAGGGAGCCAGGCTGTGTCTTCATGGCAGAGGAGTGGTCCAGCATATATAAAGTCAACTGGACCCAGCAGTGTGGTGATGCTAACAGAACACCTGTCTCCTCTAGCTGGAGTTGGATCAGTTGGGGCACATGGATGGCCCAGGTGGTATGATCCTCTATGAGCTGCGAAAGGACTCACAGGATATCCTAAAGGACCTCATTCTTTATCTTCTTCAGGCCCTAATGGGTAAGATCTGGGGAAAGTAGGAGAGTCCCGGTTCTGGCTATCAGAGGGCTGCTTTAGATGCCACCTCCCCAGAGCTCTTGAGTTCTCATGACCATTCCCAATCCTCCTTCTCTCTAAGGTCAGCCAGGCTAGAATGATAATAGTCCTTGTACCACAGATGGAGGCCAATGTGTAGAAAGTGAGCAGTCACCAAGCTCCCAACACAGCCTTGGTGGAAGATGATTCCTGCCTTAGCCCTTAGATTTTCAGGCTCTGGGTCATGTCCTTAGGAGTCTAGAGCACAGTTCCAGGGCAGATGTCCTTTCTAGGGGAGTGAGCTTGACCTGAAGTCCAATGGGGAACATTGCTCTGTCCCAGAGTTCTCCTCTCGTTGGCTTCCTAGTTCATGGTGAGAGGCGAATACTGAATCTGTCATTCTGTTTCCTCACGTGTCTTTCCATCAGTGCTGAGTGATACCCAACTCAGTCTGCTGGCCCAGTCTGTGGAGAAGAGGCTCCTCCTCCACCAACGAGAGCTGGTAAGAATCCCCCATGGGGCTGGCATCCAGGGAGGGGGAGATGAAAGCAGGAAGTGGAAGAACTTTCTAGAAGAAAGTTTCCACAAGGAGAGGAACCAGGTAACCTGTGGTTGCCTTCTGTGTCTGAGGAGCAGGCAGGTTGGACCTGAACCTGTCATGAGCATCTCCGTACTTATGACGGCCTCAGAAGCAAGGTCTGCTAGGTCTAAATAGGAAGGCATCTCTGTGGGAAATGAGGAGATGAAAAGTCAGTTACATCCTTCTTTGTTTATTGTTACCATTTGCAAATTGTCTTTTGTCTCCACACATGTTAATCTATAAATGCAAAGGTGTGCTTAGCTGTATGCACACAGGCACACACGCACACACGCACATACACACACACACATTTATGCATACACACATGCACACAGACCTGTGCACGTGCACACAAACACACACACACACACACACACACACACACACACACACACACACACGACTCTTGTGCAGCACAGACTTCATTATTACCGTGATGTAGCTGCGGAAACTATACAAGGTGGCTTTGGGTCTTACTTAGTTCATTGCCTCCGGGATGCCCTGACAGAATATGTCTCAGTCTGGTATCACAGTCTGGTCTGCCCAACCTGAGAGTCTTTCTTGTAGGTGAAGAGCATCCTGGAGTCCAACTTCAAGTATTCCTGGAACATCCCCTTCACTCTGCAGCCTCAGCTCCTCACCCCACTCCAGGGGGAGGGCCTGGCCATTACTTACGGATTGCTGAGCGAGTGTGGCCTGCAGATGGAGCTGAAAAATCCCAGGTCAACTTGGGATCTGGAAGCCAAGATGCCCATGTCTGCGCTTTATGGGAGCCTGTCGTTCCTGCAGCAACTTGTAGAAGCCAAATCCTTCTCAGAGCCTGGCCTCAGTCTAGTCGATGCTGAGTCCTGGATGCATTTGGGATATGGACACAGAAGAGGGGATATTTTTGTAGATGTTCTAGGTGGGGGCATGAAGTATGCTAAAACTAAGGGTTCTTTTGAATTTTCCATTCATTCACAATTATATAAATAATATGTTTTGATTATATTCACCTCCCCCAGTGTCATTTTTTATGCATCTACTCCAAGCCCTTATCCACTATCTTCTCATTGAACATTTTTATGCTCTATTGCACTTAATTAGGGTTTTTTTTTGCAGGGCAATAGGATTATTAATCTGAGTAAGGAAAACTTCCCAGAGGCTACACTGTTGAGCAATGTGACTCCTCCCCCCAACACCATTAACTTCCTACAGTGTCCTAGGGAGGAGTGGGGCCTTATAGGCTCCTCCTCTATCCCGGGTGGAATATGAGTGGCCCTGGGCTCTCTTGGGCTAGTGCAGATAGCTGTTAGTACTGTGATTTTATGGGTGTAATAAACATTCTACATCCTTGCCATGTCCATGAGTATTTTTGCTGGTGTCTTTCACAACTCCTCAAATAGCAGGCTAAAGTTTTAAACATAGTCTTATATGTAAAATAAAATAAATGCTACTTTTACTTAATTGTGTGCACTTTGATTTGTTTGGGTGAAAGGTGTTGGTGTCAGTAACTTGAATTATGTCTGGAATAAATTTGGGATATTTTCAGGTAGATGGTTAATAATATGATCACATGGTACTTTTTCCAGACATCCTTGCTCATTTTATTCTCCTCCCTCCTTCTGTATTTATATCCTGTCCTCTTTCTAATTAGACCCCTCCCATTTCCTGCTGTTTCCCTCTCTGTTGCCTCCAACTGCCCTACAGTCAATGGTTACCTAAGACCTTCTCTGGTGGGGATGGCCAAGATGAGACTGGCCTGTGCCCATTTCATTGAGAAAGCCTCTTGACTGATGATTGACATGGAAGGGCCCAGCCCACTGTGGGAGGCACCATTGTAAGCAGGAGGACTTGGACTGCACAGGAAATGTTTGTGAGCGTTTGGGAGTGAGGAAGCCAGTCAGCAGCGTCTCTATGGTTCTTATATCCAAGTTCTTTCCCTGAGGGACGTCCTGACTTCCCTCAAAGGTAGACTGTGATCTGGGAGTGTCACATGAAATCAGTCCTTTCTTCCTTAACTTGCTTGTGGTCATGGTGATTATTACAACAACAGAAAGGAACTAGTATACTTTGATTACCTCCAATACCTAGAAGCCTGCAACAGTAGAGACTCCAAGCCATCCTTTTTAAAAATATATTTAAATTTCTGTGAGAATTTCATATGTGAGTACGTTTTTCTGGCATTTTTCTCACCTCCATCCATGTTTTAAATCCTCTGGGTTCATCACTCTGTAAAATTCATAAAACTCTTCTTTAACTATTGTTGTACACATGCACACATGTTTATACATGAATACATTTACGTGTACAAGCTTAGAGCTGACCACATGGGGTTGGATAACCTGTCAGGAGTTTGTCCCTGTGGAAGATTGATTCATCTCTCAGCTGCCATTAATTGTCATAGTTTTCCATTTGCAGTTAGGGCCATGTGAGAATTTCCCCCATCCACATTGTAAAGCTAACTTGTGTTGTCAGTGTGTAGGTCTGTGAGATTTCTTGAGTACAGGTTTCCTGTCATATCTGGAAGACAATCTCACAGCAGCCTCCCTGATCCTCTGGCTCTTACAATCATTCCATGCCCTCTTCTACAATGTTCCCTGAGAATTAGGTTAGGGCTAAGTTTATAGAGATATCAACTGTGGGTGGGGTGGTCAATTGTTCTCTTCATTTTGAAATGGTCCCTGTCTTAGTCACTATTCTATTGCTGTGGAAACACACCATGATCAAGGCATTTTATATCAAAGAGAACGTTGAAAGGGGCCTGGCTTACACTTTCACAGGATTAGTCCATCATCAAGCAGCTGGAGATACAGCTGAAATCATGCATGAGAACTCTCTGGTGTTGGGCAAAAAGAGAGAGAGGAACACTGGGCCCGGTGTCGGCTTTCAGAACTTCAAAGCCCACCCCCAGCTTCCCACCTCTTCCAAAATGATACAGCTACCCAACATGGCCATAGTCCTAATCTTTTCAACAGTATCCACTGAGGACTGAGTGTGTAAACCTATGAACCCATGTGAGTGGTTCTCATTCAGAACCCCACACTCTGTGCTGGGAAAGAAGATTGTTTGAGAAGGGACAGGAACTACAGTCAATTGTGAGAGAACAGATAACTATTCAGAGTGTGAAACCCAGAAACTGCTCTAACTTCCCCTGGTGTGGATGCTACCCTCCCCCAGCAAGAAGGAGGTATGAAAAAAACAAAAACAAAAACAAAAGAGCCTCCTTCTCGACCTATCTCAATTGTATCAATTCTCACCAAATTCACTGGGATCCCTTTTTCCCAGATGGGTAAGGATAGCTTCTTGTCTACACACTCATGGGACACATTGAAAGCAGTGCTAAGAGGAAAGTTCATAGCACTAAGTGCCCACACGAGGAAACTGGAGGATAGTCACACTAGAGAATTAATAGCACAACTCAAAGCTCTAGAATACAAAGAAGCAAACTCAAGCCAGAGGAGTAAGCTCCTGGAAATAATCAAGTTGAGGGCTGAAATCAATAAAGTAGAAATTAGGAAAACAATACAAGGAATCAATATAATGAAGAGTTGGTTCTTTGAGAAAATCAACAAGATAGACAATCCTTTATCCAAACTTACCAAATGGCAGAGTCTGAACATGCAAATTAACAATTCAGAAATGAAAAGAAAGACATAACAATGGACACTCAGGAAATCCAGAGAATCACCAGGTCATACTTTGAAAACCTGTACTACACAAAATTAGAAATTTAAAGGAAATGGACAATATCTGGATAGATATCATTTGCCAAAATTGAATCAAGAACAGATAAGCAATTTCAATGGATCTATAACCCCTCAGGAAATAAAAGCAGTCATCAAAAGTGTCCCAAGCAAAAACAAAAAACAAAAAACCAAAAAGCAAAACAAAGCAAAAAAACAGGTCCAGAAGGCCTCAGTGCAGAATTCTACCAGAAATTCAAAGAACAGCTTATCCAATTTCCCTCAAAATATTCCATGCAATAGAAGCAGAAAGGTCTTTGCAAACTCTTTTTACAAGGCTTCAATAACCTTGATACCAAAGCCACACAAAGACACAACTAAGAAAGAGAACTTAAGACCAATATACCTCATGAACATTGATGCAAAAATACTCAATAAAATATTGGCAAATTGGATCCAAGAATACATTAGAAATATCATTCACCATGATCAAGTAGGTTTCATCCCAGGGATGCAGGGATGGTTCAATAAACCAAAACCATCAATGTAATCTACCATATAAACAAACTGAGAAACAAAAATCACACGATCTTATCACTAGATGGTGAAACAGCTTTTGACAAAATCCAACACCCCTTCATGATAAAGGTCTTGGAGAGATCTGGGATAACAGGACATACCTAAACATAGTAAGAGCTATATACAGTAAGCCAACAACCAACATCAAACTAAATGCACACAGACTCAAGGCGATTCCTCTAAAATCAATAACAAGACAAGGCACACAGACTCAAGGCGATTCCTCTAAAATCAATAACAAGGCAAGCCTGTCCACTCTCTCCATACCTCTTCACTGTTGTACTTGAAGTTCTACCTAGAGCAATAAGACAACAAAAGGAGATCAAGGGGATACAAATTGGAAGTGAAGAGGTCAAACGTTCACTATTTGCAGATGATATGATAGTTTACATAAGTGACTGAAAAAACTGTACCACAGAACTCCTACAGCTGATAAATACCTTCAGCAAAGTGACAGGATACATCATCAACTCAAGAAAATCAGTAGCCTTACTATATACAGACAATAAAAGGACTGAAAAAGAAATCAGAGAAAGACCACTCTTTATAATCGCCACAAACAACATAAAATACCTTAGAGTAATTCTAACCAAACAAGTGAAGGACCTGTAAAGCAAAAACTTTGAGTCATTAAAGAAAGAAATTAAAGAAGACACCAGAAAATGGAAAGATCTCCCATGCTCTAGGATGGGTAGGATCAACATAGTAAAAACGGCAGTCTTGCCAAAAGCAATCTACATATTCATGCAATCCCCATTAAAATCCCAGCACAATTCTTCACAGACCTGAAAGAACAATTCTCAACTTTATATGGAAAAACAAAAGACCCACGATAGCCAAAACAACCCCGTTCAACAAAGCAATATCCGGAGACATCACCATCCCTGACTTCAAGCTCTATTATAGAGCTATATTCCTGAAAACAGCTTGGTATTGGCACAAAAATACATATGTAGACCAATGGAATCGGATTGAACACCCTGATATTATCCCATACACATATGAACACCTGATCTTTGACAAAGAAGCTAAAATTATACAATGGAAAAAAAAACATCTTCCACAAATTGGTGCTGGCATAACTGGATAGTGGCATGTAGAAGACTGCAGATAGATCCATGTCTATCACCATGCACAAAACTTAAGTACAAATGGATCAAAAACTTCAATATAAATCCACCCACACTGAACCTCTCAGAAGAGAAAGTGGTAGGTAGCCTTGATAGAATTGGTACATGAGACTGTAAGTTTCATGATTTTAAAATGTAAACTTGATCTGGTGTTTCTCTAGGGAATTAATATTTTAGTCCTTAACTCATATTTGAAGTTAAATTTTGTACTTGATCTTAGCCAAAATTACCTTTTTCATCCTGCTGTCGCTTTTTGTCAAGTGTTTGTTCATAGCAATGAGGGAAGTAATTGACACAGTGGGCATGCAGGACTCTTCTTCGGTGAAGTATCTGACACAGTGCGCGTGCGTATGGACGCTTCCTATTTTGCAACCACGTGTCACACCCAGCGCATGCATCAGAAGATGAGTGAATAGTTCCAGCTTCATTTTCCCCGCAATCTTGACCTAGACTTGTTTAGTTGGCTTTCTTTGCCAAAAGAGAGAGAGGAACTGTTTCCTGAGCCAGGAGAGCCTTGCAGGCACACCTTCAGCTGCTCTCTGGTGCTGACCCACGGTCTTTGGAGGGCGGATTTGAACACTGATTCTGTGCTCAGATCCCAGTTCTCAGAGAGAGGAGGTCATTCGTGTGCTTACATGTCCAGAAGATGGCACTGGACACTGACTCAAACCTGTTAAAGGAAACACAGTCGAGAGAACCACATCGCTTTGGTCCTGGAGTTTGTACAAACTGTGCCTGGATCAGAAAGTCTAAGGGCTGAGAGGGTCCACTTTTAGTTGCAGTTTCTCTAGAGGAGGAAAACCGGCTTCAACCTGGTAAGAGATAATTTTGAATATTTCTGTAGCAACAGGGTCTCAGTAAGGTGAAAATGTCTGACTCCTCCAGAGACACCCTCCTGGGTCCCGGGAGAGAGAGAGGAGGAATAGGATTTGGGCCTCTGATGCAGGCAATGGTCACACTCCGTGGGGCGGCAGGAGGGGATGCCTAAGGGTCAGGGGTCAGACCAAGTCAGGGTTCACAGGGAAGAGGCAGGCTAAGAGATGTCTAAGGCCATAGGGCCCAGGAGAGCGGGACCAGGAGGGACCCAAGGCGGTGGGACAGGGCCCGCAGTCCGTGCACCTCGGGGCAGTAGGGACAGCTGTTGGTTGGCTCTACCGGACTGACCTCCTACCGGATGCCAAGGACACTGCGCCTGCGCAAATGGGCTCTGGTCGCATGGAACTTCTTAGGATCCTGGGCAAAGGGATTCCAGCTTTGCCTCTGCTGGACCCAAAAGCCCTTTTCTGCTAGCTGGAGAGCGAGGTAATGCTTCAACTTGCCTTCCTAACCACACACATCCTCCCCATAGATCTCTCCTCCCCAGGATGGCTGCACCCAGCTTCTCAATGCATGGCTTTTCCTCTGTCCTGATACACGTGGTGACTCATGGGTGCTGCGAAACTCTCCACTTCTCCCCGCTCCCCCATCCAACCATGAAGAGAACGGGGCGTCAACACCGCCTGCTGAGCCATTCCCAGACCATTCCTGCCTCTAAGCCTGCAAACGTCGGGAACCATGCATTGCTTCTTCTACCCTGAAGACCCCACCATGCTTCTGCCTGCGGTCTCCCCTCGACAGACTAGATCAGTGCGAGTGCCGAACTCTCAGCCATTCTGAAGTGTCAAGTCTGTCTCTGCCCACGCCTGAACTTGCTGACTTGTAATAATTTCTTTCAGTAGCACCCCCCACCTGTCTCACCGGGGTTAAGTTTTTATTTTAATAGTACTGTATGTTTATAGGTTTACAAACGGCTCCTCTAGTCTGACAAGGAGCCACACCTGCTTCCTGCACCCTTCTCAACTCTGGGAGCTACACCTGAAGACTGAGATTCAAAGTTCCACTCCCCTTAACAACTCCCCCCCACACCCAGCTTCCTTCTTTCAGGCAAAGGGGTGGAGGTGCTGGAATCATATCGCAGGATTTCTTTAAAATTACCCATGCATAGATTTTATTTTATGTTATTTTTTTAAATTAGCATTTTTCTTAAACTACCATTGAGAAAATGTTAAGCAAAAAATGTTAAAATTCCACCAACATAAATACCGAGACACTTTACATTCTTGTGGGGTTTTTTGTTTTTTTGTACATCTTTAAAACCTCCTGTTTTATATTGACTGACAACACTTGGCAATTTGGAATGGTCATAGGTCAGACACCCACCTGAAAGCTACTTGCAAGATCATGGTTTGTACCTTTCTCCTGTCAGTTATACCTATCTGCACACACACACACACACACACACACACACACACACACACACACACTAAACTGCTGCCATTCCTTAGACTCTATGTACCATGGATTAATGGCATCCTAGAGCTTTCATCCAGTAACTGATGAAAGCAGAAACAGAGATATACACACAAGTACTGAGCTGAACTCCTGGAATTCAGTTGTAGAGAGGGAGGAATGATGAGCAAAGGAGTCAAGACCATCTTGAGGAAACCACAGAAACAGCTGACCTCAGAAAGTGGGAGCTCATGGACCCCAGTCAGACAGCTGGGTAAGCAGCATAGCACCCAACCAACCCCCAGAACGTGGGTGTCAGTTAGGACGCCTGGGCAGCCCATGGGACTTCTGACGGGGGAACCAGTATTTATCCCTGATGCAGGAATGGGCTTTGGGAGTGCATTCCAAAAGGAGGGATACTCTATTATCCTAGATACATGGGGGAGGTCCTAGGTCCTGCCCCAAATGATGTGACAGATTTTGATGATCCCTCATGGGAGGCCTCACTCTCCCTGTGGAGTCGATGGGGGGGGGAGTCGGTGGGGGGAATGGGAGAATGGGAGGGAGAGGGAACTGGGATTGATATGCAAAATAAGATTGTTTTTAATTTAAATATATATATTTAAATACACACACACAGAATTGGCCCATGCATAGATTTTTAATTTTCTATGCCCAGTGTTACTAGTTTTAACTTTTTAGCTAGTTTTAAATTTATTATATTTTTAACCATATGTAACAAAATAAAATTATAAAATTTAAAGTAGAGAATGTTCATGTAAACCGAGCCATCTATATTTTTTGTCTGTTCAGTTTTGTTTTCTTCTCTCTGTCACTGTGTCAGGGGCTCAGACTGACAGAGCTACATAGATGGAACTTTTAAATACGCATGTCTGGTTCTAGGGAAAAAGTGCCATAACCCAATGCTAGAGCCAACTTTCAAATAAAGAACAGCATAAAACCGTTCATCTGTATCATCCGAATTCAGGTCCAGAGATAAATTCTGAGCCCTGACCGTAAATGCAGCCACACCAGCCTGGGTGGTGACCGGCTGCTGTCAGCCAACGTCCCCAAACCATTTTTGTTCCGGATGCATGCTGGCAGCAAACTTACAAACACGCCAGAAAACACAGAAAAGACTTTCCAACCAAACGTGCATACACAAATTTCTCAGGAAATAGACAGAACGTTTCAGTGAGACAGTGCTTTCCAAACAGAAGCAACGTCATGCGGTCAAATGACTTTCCTAGGAGGCATCAGTTTGCTTGGGCTTCAGGGTGGAGATGATGACTCAGAGGGGCTTAATACCTGTTATTAATGTTATTATATCTCATGATAGTAATCAGAAGTACAAGGGAAAGTGTAAGTAGAAGAAAAAATTAAAATATTCAAGAGTACATATATATATATATATATATGTTAGTAAAGATGGATTTCTTCTAGATAAGACTTTTTTTCTAAGTTGAGTTGGCTGAATACTTCCAGAATGGAAAAGAAACACATGAAGCTAGGAAGCCTAAGGAGTTCTGGATAAACCGAGTGTGTTATGCAGAGTGTGTACAAGATGACATTTGTTTTATATGAGGACAATAGGTTATTATAACTTCCAAGGTCAAAGTTCAAACAACTATGTATTTAAATCACTAGAGTTCTCTTGTTATTGTCCTGCATTTGGTAATGTTTATAAGGACCAGCTTTAAGGGATAATGTACATCCATCCAAGATTCATTTAAAAACAGGTGGGTTTTGTTTAAGGTTCATCTATATCTTCTATAAACTGTTGTGGGATATTTGTACCCTGTGTGAAGGTTTATTGCTGTTATTGGTGCAATAAAAACCTGAACTGCCAATAGCTAGGCAGTGAATAGTTCCAACCTCGTTTTCTGACAATCTTGAACCAGACTTGTTCAGCTGGTTTTTGCTGTAAAAAGAGACTGTTTCCTAAGAACCCCCCCTTCTCTGAGCCAGGGGAGCCTTGCAGGCACACCTTCAGATGCTCTCTGGTGCTGACCCACGGTCTTTGGATGGTGGTTTTGAACACTGGTTCTGTGCTCAGAGCTCAGTTCTCAGAGAGAAGAGGTCATGTGTGTGCTTACATGTCTAGATGAGTGTGCTGAACACTGACTCAAACCTGTTAAAGCAAAACAAACACTGTGAGGAGAACCACGTTGGTTTGGTCCTGGAGTTTGCACCAACTGTAAATCAAAAGACACAGGGACTGAGAGGAGCTGAATTCAGTTGCACTTTCTCTAGAGGAGGAAAACCGGTGTCAGCCTGGTAAATGCTGATGGGATGAGAGGGTGAGGAAGGAGAGGAGGCTGCAGGGTCAGAGATGGTCGTTCAGGCTGGTTGTAAAATGAGTTGACTGGTTAGTTCCTATGCAATGTGATATGCAGGGAAGGAAGCTTTCCTTCGTTAGGTTCTCCCTAAGAGACTTAGTGGGTGATATTTTGTTTGTAATCTAACAAATAAAGCTTGCCTGAAGATCAGAGTGCAGAGCTAAGCTCCCAGTTAGTCACACACACACCTAAGCCACTAGTTAGCCATAGAGGACAGCACTTGGGAGACAGAGGTAGATGGATCTCTGTGAGTTCAAGGTCACCCTGGGCTACAGGAGAGTGAAGCAGTGTAAAAAAGAAACACAGCTCACACCTTTGATCCCAGCACTTGGGATGACAAGCCCTTAATCCCACACCAGGGAGGTGGAGACAGCGGTGATTTGGCTGGGTGGAGAGAGGCATATAAGTCACTCTGAGGTTTGGTGGAGGGCTCTGCAGAGTGAATTCTCGAAGACAGGATCACCCTATCAGTCTGAGGTAGAGGTAAGAGCTAGCAGCTGGTCCCTTTTCTTTTCAGATCTTCAGTTTTAACCTAAATATCTGTCTCTGGGTTGTTATTAATACCAACTGGAATCAGTGCTACATGTGCGGTGCTCACAAGCAGGTGTAAGGGTAGGGGCTAGGTCTCTGATACATCTTTGTTCAGGTTGGGTGTTGACACAGGCAAGGTCACGCGTGTCTACAGCCAAGGTTTTCATTTCTACCCACCCATCTATGTCTCAAGTGTTTTATCTCCATGGTAGTTTCTACTGCCTTTTGCTGGTTTGTATGATTGTCTGTTTTAATCTTTCCCTGGCTCTCAAAATCAAGGTGCTGAGGTATGAATTAAATATTCTCCACTTGGAAATGGCACCCAGGGAAATGGCACCACCTCCATCATGTGGCCCAATCTAGAAATACGAAATTCTGATATGATCCTCTGTCCTTCTCATCACTCACATAAATCCCAACATTAATTTTTTGACTCTGCATAAATCTTGAGTAGTTGTCTTATTATCAGCTTTGAATGTCTAGTATTTGATCATTGTCATGGATAGCTTCAGAAGTACGTCACATTCTTTACTGCTGGGAATTTTATACTGAGGAACTTTCCATGTCACAAGGTTATTCTTTGTGTCAATTATGTTCTCTTTTGCCCATTGGTAGTAGAGTTGGCTTTATGGATTCATGGATCCTGCAGCTTTAGAATTAAGTGACAATTGACTGATCATATTCAGAACAGAACTTAGGGAGATGGCTTAGCAGGTACAGCACTTACTGTGAGTCTCATACTTCTAATCCCCAGAACCCAGTTAAAACCCAGTGGGCAAGGTGCTCACCTGTAATCTCAGCAGGCAGGAGATATAGCTAGGGGATCTCTGCATGCTGGCTAACCAGACTAGCTGAAATGGAGAGCTAGGGTGTCAGTAAAAGACTTTGTCTCAATATAGAAGATGGAGAGTGATTGACAGTCACTCAGTGACAGACACAGGCCTTCATATACACACCTGTACATACATCCATGTAAATATGTGCCTCTACACATTAAAGCAAGCAAGCATTCATACATACATACACACACATACCTCAAGACACATATACATATGTGTAAAAGGAAATATTTAGGGGCTAGAGAAATGGCTCAGCTGTTTTAAGCATTTTTTTGTCTCTCAAAGGACCCCAGTTCAGTTCCCACACCCACAGTGGGTGGCTCACAGTCACCTGAACCTCAAATTCGTGGATCTGCTACCCTCCGCTGGCCTCATGGGCACTCATATGTTGCACACACACAGACACACCCTAGATAAAACTGAAAACTAAATATTTAAAACTGAAAATTCAGAAGCCTTGGATCAGAGTAGAACATGTTCAGACTCTGTTTTGTGCGTGCAGGATTCTGCAACAACTATGTCTGTTTTTGTTTAACGCCATGCTTTGGATGTGAAATGTCCTGTGCCCCCAAGTTATTTTTGAACTTTTGCTACTGTCACTGTTTTCAGGGTCCTGGGGAACTTAAAGATGGGGGTGGGGGCTAGTGGAAATATTACTGTGGGGAAATGAACTTGGGGCTACACGTCCCATCCTTGTATATTTCTCTGTTTCTTGCTTGCCGAGAAGTCAACCATTATCTCCTCCTTATTCTCCTGTCACTGTGATGTTCAGCCAAAAAGCAGGGTCTAAAGCAACTGTGGACTGGGCCTACTGAAACCCTTTGTCAACCCCCCCAAAACAAAACTCTCCTCCATTAGGTTGTTTATGACAAAACTGGTATTGGTACAGTATTTAAAATGATATTGTACTCTATAAACTGTAATGGCATCTGGCCTTGCCAGTGAACCTGAAGAAGTAGCCACACCCTTTGGGCATGGGTTCAGGTGATCTAAGGTAGAGCAGCTGTGGGTGCACTCTCTTGGATTGCAGAGGGCATCGGAAGGGCAGAGACTACATCTTTTGGAGCAGGAAAGCCGCGACAGTTATTCATCTTATCTGTGTAAGTTGTTCCCCAGTAAAACACCTATTTATCTTTATTGTATCTGGTGAACTAACTCCTTATTCCTTTGCTTTCAATAAACAGTTTAAAGTATCTTGGAATTTTGTGTGGTCATATGAAAAGTCACTTGAACATCTGCGGATTTTGATTATTACCCTAGAAATAGCCAGCTATATAGAGTTAGTACTGTATGCATGGATAATAACTCTATAATATTTAATATATTATGGTAAAATTCCTAACAGGAGCTCTGCCTTCAACAGGTTTTAAAATACACAACAATATATTGTTCCAAACCCTGCTAGCAGGTGTGCAGTTTCTTCATTTTGTGCCAATGAAACATCAACCTGATTGACTAACAATGTTCCCTTCCTCTCTCCTCCAGTAGCAAGCATCCTTGTGCACTCTGGGTCTTGGAGAGTCTGTGATAATTCATATAAATAAATCCAAGGGTGTTTACCCTTGAGTGACATATATTTCAATATCCTCAAGATTCATCAAATGATTGCATTTTGTAAACTTTCTTTCCCTTTAAGGTTGATAACAGATGTCACATTTTTCCTTATCCTGTTGATGGACAGTTAGATTGTTTCCACATTTTGGTCTTTGTGAGTAGTGCTGCAATGAACATGAGTGTGCTATTTTGTTGTTTTCAATTTTACATTTTCTCAAGACCGGGTTTTTCTGTGTAGCCCTTACTGTCCTGGAACTTTCACTATAGACCAGGCTGGCCTAGAACTCATAGAGATCTACCTGTCTCTGGATCCCATGTGTTGGGATGATATCTGGTTTTCAATTCCGTTAAGTTTTTGAGAAATCATGTTTATTTCTTTAGAGGAGATAACATTTTTACATTCACACAGTGCACAAGGTTCCATTATTTAAACATTATTACTGACAGTTATTTATACTTTTATGCAGATACAATATCTCATTGTGATTGTGGTTAACATTTTTGTGATACCTGGTAACATTGTGTTTTCTTTGTCTTATTGTTATTTACATTTCTTATTGGTAGTACTGTGTCTTGAACCTAGGTCATGATTTGTGCCAGGGAAGGATTTGTGGCAGGGACTGATTTAATTTCTTATTTAGAGAGATGCCTATCCTATTCAAGTTGCTAACACGCTAATTTCTTTTGGTATTTACTGCTATTTTAAATTAGCATGAAATAATGTTTTTAATTGTGGCATCCTCACACAGTACATGTTTTGTTCATGTTCACCACGTTATTTTTTCTAGTTCTCCTGACCCATCTCTGCAGCCCCCTAACTCCCTGACAATTGTTCCTTTCTGATTTTGTACTTCATACAGACATTTTATGTGTATATATGTACATATACACATACATCTATGCATATATTTGCATATAAATTTATGTGTATATATTTATACATAGACTTATGGAATCCTGTATACATATCGTGTGGTATGTATATACCAGAGAGACATGCAATATCTGTATTTCCGTGCTTAGTCTATTTCATTTGGCATGGATGGTCTTTAGTTCCATTCAGTACATGGTGCAATTTCAGAGTTTACGATGAATAAAACTTAACAATGCATATATACCACATTTTCTTTCTACATTAATCTTTTAAAAATTATTTATTTTATGTGCATGGATGTTTTGTCTGCATATATGTATACAATGTGTGTGCCTGGTGAGAAGAGGTAATAGGATGTCCTGGAACTGGGGTTACAGATGGTGGTGAGGTCCATGTAAGTGTGGGGAATTGAACCTGTGCCCTCTGGAACAACAGAGTGTCGTTAACCTGAGAGTCATCCCTCCAGTCTTTGCCTCCATTCATCTTCTTATGGGTCTCTAAGCTGGGTCTGTATTTGACTATTTGGGATAGTTCAAGGGTACCGTGGACGTGGCCATCTCTGCTGTATGCTGATGTGAAGGCTTTCTTACACTTTGGGGGGTTTATGAAAAATATCAGGAGTCAGTGAGAGTCAACTACACTCTTCTTCTTCTCAAATAAACTGTGTGCTTCCTTCTGTCTGACACTAGCAACATGCCCTATTCATTCGACCGGATTTGCAAGGATGTGGTCAAAAAGCTTCAAGGAAAAGATCTGTGTCCTGTCAAATGTCTATCAGATGCAACTAAGTTCCGTCAGTTTGCGATACTGCAGAAGACTTCTCAGTCATGGCATTGGACATCTGAAGATATTCCAGTTGGATATTCCCTTCTGCAGATCTTAGAGCCAAATGTTCCCAGCCCAGGTATGATTAGCCTGGAGGCAGAGAATATCAGCATTTCCAGTGGTGAAACATCCCAGACCCATGAGCTGCTCAGACATGTAGCTCTTGAGTCATCCCTCTTAAAGAAAAAGGACAAGGAGGGTCCTTTAAGAATCCCCTCATTTTCAGGATCCTTCCTTGCATTCAGTCATATAGTATTCCAAGGGCCTCTTCAGATGGAGATATGATAACCATGTTACAAAAACGTAATTGAGGCTCCTAAAACAACTTGTTCGAAGTTACACACTTCAAACTGGTAGAATTAGGATCCAGACTGAGGTCACTCTGCAAATTGAAGACCTCTTTCTTTTTCAGGGACCTGCCCTGGGACTGGATTCTGTACTTGGAAATATGATTCTCCTAGACACTGCACAAATGATACATTTGGTTTGCAAGGATTAAGACAATGCTTGAATTGGTTCTGGAATTTCCCCTCTGTAGTAATGATATTACACATATTAATTAATTATATTTATTATATACAATTAATTATTAGCTAACTTCTTGGCTAAGGTGTAAATGAGGAGGAGAACTAGCCTCATATTTACTAGTTTCTAGAGCAGTTATCCTACAGTGAATTCTTGGCTAAACTTCTGTCCCCTTTCCTCTTCAGAGACTGAAGTGTCAGCTCCCATGCCCTTCAAACGCATTGTATCCAAGAAACTGAAGGGTAACGTGGGTGTCAATGCCATTGCAGAAGGAAGTGTGTCAACAGGGTTTGGTCATTCCTATGGATATGACATTGAGGTTCAGTGTACCAGCATCCCAGCATCAAAACTTGGAATTCTTCAAAACAGGTGAAAGAATGGGTCAGCCAATTTCTGGGATGTTTTCTCCTAGGTAAAGAGGCATTTGGGACTGTTTATGACAGCTCACATTATTCTACTTTATTTTCTTACAAGTGACTGAAATGAATAATGATTTATAGTGCCCTAATAATACTCATTAATACACAATCACCCACTACTGTTCCATTAATGTGAAGGGGACAGAAAAACAAGATAGATGAGGAAGGCTCTGATCTGATGGAAGCTTCTGTTCGTTGTCTTGAGGATGGGCATGTATGGAGGAAAGAATCGTAGAGGTAAATGGTTGGATATTGATGAAAATGTGAGGATGACTGTAGTCATCACTTGAACACATAGTTGATTTGTACCACATCTCTTCTGAGGCATAATGTTGAGGTAGAAGTGTATGTTTTATGTGCCGCATTTTGGTGTGATATATGCATGTAAGTCAGTCCATCTTATATATGCATATGCGTGTCAGTAACATTATCACTCCATCTGGTAAACATTATTTCATATTTTTCTTTATTACATTTATTTATAGTCTCTCTCTCTCTCTCTCTCTCTGTGTGTCTGTGTGTGTGTGTGTGTGTGTGTGTGTGTATGCTCACCCTCATTCCATGGCTCAAATATAGTAGTCAGAGGGCAGCTTGCAGGAGTCAGATCTCTCCCTCTGCTGTGTGTGTCCTGGAATCAAACTCAGTCAACTCCACCTGTCTATGCTCATCCACCCTGCCAGCTCAGCAACTGCTATTGTGACAGCAAGAGCATTTCCTGTCTGCTCAGACTCAAGCACATGTAGCATAGTCAACTATAACCACACCGGGCTTTACCATGGTTCCTGGGGATCTGAGCTCCTGTCCTCATACTTACATGGCCAGCACTGTATAGACAGGGCCACACCCCAACCTGTCGCTGAAGATTTCTTTTCTTTTCTTCTTCTTTTTTTTTTTTGGTATTGTTTGTTTTCTCATGATTTGGTGTCTGTTTCTATGAAATTAGCCATTTGGATCTCCTCATTCTCGTTTCCCACCTTCAGGAAACTGGTGGAAAATGAGCCATCATTTGTGAAGGATTGCTGGATTGGAAGGAAGGACCTGTATGTGGTGACCGAGGCCTATGAAGTCACCAAGGCTACAGTGTTGGAAGACAGCAGTACTGAGGACCTTTCAGGACAAGTGCTCACCCCCCAGTTTGCCAAGGTGTGGAATGGGGATGGGATAAAACAGGAGTGTGGCCAGTGCACCTTTGCTTCTCAAGGGCTTTTGGGTACCAGCTTCTAGGGCTCAGAGGATGGGGTCATTATTTTCCTCTGCACCTATGTAATATGTGTTAATCCCTGATCTTAGATTGCTTTCTTTTCTTTAAACATAATCTGTATTGATTCTTGGAGAATTTCACACCATGTACCCCAATCTCACTCATTTTCCAGTCCCTCCGCATACACCCTTCATCCTTGTAACATCCCCCTAAAGGGAAACTTAAAAAGAAAAGAAAAACAAAAACAAAAAACACAAAACACAAACAAGTATATTCATTAAACAAACAAATCCAAAATCAGAAGAAATAATAAAAATAAAAGTTAAAAAGTAGAAACCACAAAAGAATATTAATTAAACAAATAAAGAAAATCCCAAAACATACAAAAAAAAGCAATCAAATGAAACAAGACAATCAGAAAAGATGCTTGTCTCCTCTGTCGTTTCCGGCTCTCCATCCCCTCTTCATTCATCTTAGTGACGTTGGCAGCCTCTGTATCCTGCAGTATTCTCCTTTATCCAAACGCCTTCATTTGCAAATGTTCACTGTTACTGGACCCTCGCTGAACTTCCTCTTAGATATCCAGCTGTTGCCCAGAGTTATGGTGGTCCTGTGACGATTGTACCACAGGACCAGTCTCTTCATGCACTCCAGCATGTCATAGATGGGGCAGATATTTTGGTGGGTCAGCTGAAAGTCTGGGTGGCAGCTGATCTGGTCAGTTAGGGTGTTGGGATCATCCCCGTCATGTGATGGGCTAAGCCATCTCTCCCATGCCTGTGATAAGGGGTGTGGTCAGCTTTCCCCAATAAAAGGGGGTAGCTATCCTATGAGGGCCAGACCAGCAAGGGGCAGAGTTAGTTCTCTGGTATGGAGACTGGTTCTCCCTAGGTCAGTTAAGGCCAGGGTCAGCTGGTTAGCTCAGCTGCTTAGATTGCATTCTGATGCCCTCATTTATAATGTTTATTAATAAGATTAGCAAATATTGATAAATTCCACAATAGACATAATTGTTTGGTACCTTGTTTTGTTTTGAGTGAAGGGCAGATGCTGCAGACATGGGAATATGAGGATCTTGTGTTATTTTCACACTGAGTTTCATGGCTGGGAAAACATTGGAACATCTTCATTAAACTGCAGCTGTTACTATACATTCTGTGATCACCTGATAACAAATACTGTTGAGATAAGGTGTCACATAGCCTAGGCTGTCTTCAAACTGGCTGTGGAGCTGAGGCTGACCCTGAACTCCTGGCCCTCCTGGTTCCACTTTCCAAATGCCAGGGGATTACATGTATGTCCTCCATGCCTGGATTTGATAAAGTGTCTGAAGGGGCAATATTTAAATACCTTTATGTATGTGTTATTTACATAATGTACTCATCACGACCAAGCATTATTTACAAATTAACAGAAAATTCAATATTAGCTTAAATATGGAATATTATCTCTCCCCTCCCTTCTGTATTTTAATCCTGCATTCCTTAAGTATTTTAGTTAAGCTTATTTTTGATTATTTGATAGATGTATATAATGCATTCAGATTACTCTCACCCTGGGCTCCCTTACCATCCTCCCACACTGATCAATCCACCCTCTTCCTTTCAAGTCCCTTTCCCCCATTCAAGCCTTTTCGTTTTGTTGTATGACTCACCAAGAACTCTGTGTGAGCATGGCTGTACAAATACACATTGGAACACCATGGCACCATTGACTCCAGTCCCTGTTCCCGAAGGACCACAGTAGAAACATGGAAGCCTGCTACAGGATTCTAAGTATCCACAGCGAGTCCCTGCTAACCCTTTGGAAGGTTTGTTCCTGTGTTCAGAAACTCCATCCAGCTCTGGCTGACTTAGGGCCACTTCAGATGCCCCAGCTGACACCAACACTGAGTGGTCCCAAGACTGAGTCTCAGGCACCGATCAAATCAGGAGGTTCGAAAACTGACAGCTGGGGTGATAGTGAACAGAAAAAGATGTCCACACAACAAACACATGTCAATATGGAAGTGTGATCAAAATACATTACATGCATATATGAAATTCTCAAACATTAAACAGTATGTAAGAGAAGGAAAACTGTACATAAAAAGGAAAAGAACTTAAATCCCAGGGAATTCCAACTTAGGATTCTATCTCCTTCAAAATGTGAACCAAATGAAAGTTAAAGGTGTCCTTAGGAATTAGTGTTTTCAGGCATGTAGTTCCCAGCTCCCCAGAAGATAATAAGCAACAGGACAGAAATGACAAAAGACATCCCACTTCCCCAGAGAGACAAGACTGGGATGAGGAGATGCAGTCTCACCCACAGCTGACAGAGACTAAGCTCCTGCCCAGAATCCCAGGTGTGAACATGGGTGGAGCTGTCAGCACTGAGTGTGGAGTATGAGAATGAGACCCTCAGTGCAGAAGGAGCCAGGAAATATTTGTAAAAATGAAGACATTGCAGCAGGGCTGGTGTATTGCTCAGGGGCGGACACTAGCCTGGTATTCATGGTGCTCTGGGTTCAGTTGCCTGGCCTCTCCAGGCTCACCTCTAAAATCTCAGTGTAGGTAAATATTGTCCTAACAGGGGAGGAGCAATACCTGAACACGGGGACCAGGAGGAAGGGGAATGAGAGACTGCTGGTGTTTCCTCATGCGCTTTCTGGATTCATTTGACTTTTCAGTTACAGGCATATGTTGCATTGATTAAGAGTAATCATAATTTTTATGAGACCAAGCGGTATGAATTTTTAGGAATGTTTTGTTTCCCCAGCTTCAAGCCCAGGGACAGTGGCAAAGGGAGACAAAGAATTTAGTACCTATTCCAAAGGGTGCAGTGGTGGCCTACAGGAAGAAGCAACTGGTCATTGAGAATGACACTTGTGGTGAGCAGATGTGGGGGCCAAGTGGGTTTGGGGTGTCCAATGACCTGAACCTTCTCTTCTCTCCTGTCTGTAGATCTGGAGGAGCAATTCTCACTGCCGAGGCACATGTCTCTCCATCCTTAGACACCTCTAAGCATGGCCAAGCTCAAACACTACTCTCTGTAGATGCAGAGACAGCCTCCCATGTGGGAAGGCATTCAACCTGGGTTGCTCAAATGGAGGTCTGTTTAGTTGGATGAGCCAAGGCACAATCCTAGGCTTTTCTAGTCGTCCATCTCTAGCCAGTCAAGGTTTTGACACTCGGGGATGTCAGCAGGGGACTCCAGGCCCACCAGGTGATTCCTAAATCCACATTAAATCCCCATAAAATAATGGAAGCATAGCCCAAATGAAACCGTAGGCAGACTGTCTGGACAACACAGCATAGGGTTTTCTTCTGAAATATTTATCTTGTAAATTCTGGCCAAGGGAAAGCCCCGGAGTCCATCCCCTAGTTGGCAGCAAAGACAAGGAAGCATTAGGAGTATGGTATACTTCCTGGATGATGGCTTCTAGAGAAAGATTATCTACACTCTATCAGAAGGAATAGATTCAAAGTTTGTGATGCCTTAGAAATGCCTGGGGGGGGTGTCCTTACCATTACAGATATGCTAAGTGAAAAGATACTGATGAGAGAACGTGAACACTTTATGAAAAGCATTGGCAGCAAACAAGCAAACAAAATCTCCCAATCTGATTAGATCAGATGTTGTTCCCACATAAGCAAGGCCATATGTAGATGCCAAACCCAGGGGAAGATAAACTGTAAAGGCTGAGGTGGCATGGAATGGAAATGTGATGTCCCATATAGAGGGTACTTAGCGGAGCCGAATAAAGGGGAGCATTGAGAGAGGAGGTGATGATGGGAGGGGGCTCTGGGGTGAGGTCTTCTGAAGGTGCAGAGAGTTGTTTGGTTAAGCAAAGAGCTTGGTGAACCTGAGGACTGAAGACAGTTTGGGGACAGATGGTTTGCCATCACTTATTAAGTCCTTTCTGGTCTGTGATGAGAACTAAATTCCTGCTTGCCAGTGAGCACACTGTCCCAGCTGGGTCCCTCCCTGCTGTGCCTGATTGTGTAGACAAGATGCCCTGTTCGCCCCCTAGTGCTCAGAAGGTGACTTGCAGACACACTCTGAAGTTTGCTTTTTGTTTAACTTTGTTAGTTAACATGTAAGTTTAACTTAACATGTTAGTATCCATGTTACTCTGGATACACTGCAAAACAATGCAGGATTGCCAGATGAGTGGATAAGGAGGGGACAGCTGGTAACTGAAGGCTGACAAGGAGCCGATAGGACAGGGCAGGAGGAAGCTTCACCTCGTGGAGTGTTTGTTTATCTGTTTTATGAGTAGTTGCGTTTTGCCTGCATTAAGTGTAGTGTGTCTATGCAATGCCCCAAGAAGGCCAGAAGATGGCGCTGCCATGTGGGTGTGGTCCTTTGCAAGAGCAGCAGTGTCTGTTAACTGTTGATCTGGCTTCCCTGCCCTCATGGGGAATACTTGGATGTCAGAAGACTTAATGGTCACCTGGATGCCTATTGGGAATGCAGGTTTCAGGCTGGTGGGAGGGATTGGTTGGTAAAGGTGCTGTCCCCAGGCCTGATGCCTTGAGCTCCACCTTCAGGTACCACATGATGGAAGGAGATAACTGACTCCCTGTGTGGTCCTCTGACCTCTGTATGTGCTGTTGGCACACACACACACACACACACACACACAGACATACATAATTCAATAACATAAAACGCAAGCTTCCGGGCACCTGTGAATGGACCTGGTTCACAGGTCACAGAGGCTAGTGTCTCGGTTGACATCTTCCCTGGGGTTTGGTCTGAGAGTCCTGAAATGGGTTGTGGGGAAGAACTAGCAGGTGTAACTGCATTTCTACTAACCGAGTTTCTTTTCCATTCAGCCATTCTCCTTTCTGGTAGTGGCAAGAAGAAAACCTTTCTAGGTGCATTCCCTAGGTTCCAAGGTCTTCCTGTTGCCTCAGATGAGAGTTTCAGATCTAGAAGGGACACAGGTATGTTTTGTTGGACAGGATCTACCTGGGGATGGATTTATCACAGGGAGTTTCTCATGAAAGTGGAGTTGCCATTTGAAAAGGGAGGGTGGAGGAGTTGGAAAGGTCAGAGGTATGGGGAGGGGTTCAGAGAGTGAATGAACCCTTCTCTTTCTCTTTCCAGAGATACATTATTCAATAACGATAGGTGAGTGAACGATTCTGGGGACAAGAAAATCAAACCTGCTCCTTCCTGATGACACCCAAGTTACAAAAACCCACCTGACTGACCTTGCCCAGGACCTTGAGATCTCTTCTCCACTAGAGTGGGGTTGGATAATAGAGAAATGTCAGGGACACATCGAAAGTAAGGTCAAATACTAATTCTTGATTGGGCAATATGTTTTCTCTATCTAGAGGAGCCGATAAATTACATCGCTCCAATTGGTGAGTGTGTGTCTGGTGGGGTTGTTATGGAGATCTGGGTCATCTTACTGTGTCACCCCTATCCCTGGCTCTGGTTCCTGCGGGAGGGTAAAGGTCATGGAAGACTGGATTGGGGAAGGCATAGACTGGATGGGGCAGGAGGAGAAGCAGGAGAGGGAATCTCCAATGTGTGTGTCTTCTTTTCTAGGAAGGTTAGAGGAACCCTTACATAATGGTGAGTTGATTTTGGTGGTGGGGGGATCTAGATTTCACACAGGAAACCCTAGGCTTGGAACTCATTTGAGAAACTCTTTGGAACTCAGAAAACTGAGGTCTAGATTTCCAATTTAGTTAGCAGACAGTGCACCTGTGTGCACTACTGTTTCACTGAGGATTTACCAGGAAGCAGGCAGCACTCCAGCGAGGGCAATGTGAAATAATCAGAGTGCCCATGCCTCTGAGCTTCCACTATGGTCCCTCTCACACTCACAGATCACCCAGAGGACGTTTGGCAGAACCAGGGTTTCCCAAAATGCAGTGCTGGGTTAATTCTCCATAGACAGTGGAGAGTCTTCCCAATAAGGCTCACTCTTACGTGCCAGGTGCCTTACAAATACAAAGTCCTTGACTCCTAATCATGTCCCCATTTGTCACCCTTGGAAACTGATTCGGAAACAGTGAGTGGTGTCTTCTCTGGAATGTAATAATAATAGGACACTTCATCCTGACACCCAGAATGAACACTTTTTCCCACCTGTGCTAAGCAGTTTTCAGGATGCCCATCTGCTCTCCCAGGGCTGTGTCCCCTCCTTCCAGAGCTCTGAAGCTGCCTGCTGTCTAGTACTGTTAACTTCATGATAGTTGCCTCACCAGGGCCCAGGCAGGCTATCCATGGAGGTGCCTGTAGCACTGGAAATGGTACTGCAGGTTAGGGCTTACCATGTCAGGGATATTCAATTGCAGAGTTGCTGTAACTTTCTGATTCTTGTTTCTGTCGGTGAACAGATTTCCTGAATCTAGAAAGAGAGATTTTTGAGAAAACACAGATGCTGCCCATTCTTTCAAAGGACGTTCAAGATGCTGTATTCTCTAGTCTCCTGCCCATGCTAGGAGACAGGGACACTCTGTATGACCTGATGTCCATGGTGAGATTTCCATAGCTTTCTAGAGATGATCAAACCTGTAAAGGACAGTTTGGGTGATGGCATGCCAAGATACATGAGGGAAGGGAAGCCCATGGTATCCAGGAGACTGAGAAAGATGTCAAAGTCTGTGGATAAGGGCTCCTTGTTCAGTGATGAGGGCTGGGGAGTGTGTGCCCTGAATTCTGCTCAGGATTCTCCTGGGGAGGCAGAAGCTTTAGTCCATGCCTTGCTTAAATCCTCTGGATACAGGCACATGACACCATAAGGGTTTTGAGCCTGATTGGTAGGCTGAATCTGCTTGCAGGAAGGTGACAAGTTCAAGGCCTTCCTAGACTACATAGCAAGTTCAGAGCTGCCGAGGGCAACAGCATTAGACCCCGTGACATAAAAGAGAAAAATGGAGGGAAAAGGGAGCCAGGCTGTGTCTTCATGGCAGAGGAGTGGTCCAGCATATATAAAGTCAACTAGACCCCAGCAGTGTGGTGATGTTAACAGAACGCCTGTCTCCTCTAGCTGGAGTTGGATCAGTTGGGGCACATGGATGGCCCAGGTGGTATGATCCTCGATGAGCTGCGAAAGGACTCATGGAATGTCCTAAAGGACCTCCTTCTTTATCTCCTTCACGCCCTAATGGGTAAGATCTGGGGAAAGTGGGAGAGTCCCAGTGCTGGCTGTCAGAGGGCTGTTTTAGATGCCACCTCCCCAGGGCTCTTGAGTTCTCATGACCATTCCCAATCCTCCTTCTCTCTAAGGTCAGCCTGGCTAGAATGATAACAGTCCATGTACCTCAGATGGAGGCCAATGTGTAGAAAGTGAGCAGTCACCAAGCTCCCAACACAGCCTTGGTGGAAGATTCCTGCCTCAGCCCTTAGATTTTCATGCGGTGGCTCATGTCGCTTAGGATTCTAGAGCACAGTTCCAGGGCAGATGTCCTTTCTAGGGGAGTGAGCTTGACCTGAAGTCCAATGGGAAAAATTGCTCTGTCCCAGAGTTCTCCTCTCGTTGGCTTCATAGTTCATGGTGAGAGACCAGTACTGAGTCTGTCATTCTGTTTCCTCATGTGTCTTTCCCCCAGTGCTGAGTGATACCCAACTCAGTCTGCTGGCCCAGTCTGCGGAGAAGAGGCTCCTCCTCCACCAACGAGAGCTGGTAAGAAACCTCCATGGGGCTGGCATCCAGGGAGGGGAGATGAAAGGAGGAAGTGGAAGAACATTCTAGAAGAAAGTTTCCACAAGGAGAGGAACCAGGTAACCTGTGGTTGCCTTCTGTGTCTGAAGAGCAGGCAGGTTGGACTTGAACCTGTCATGAGCATCTCTGTACTTATGGTGGCCTCAGAAGCAAGGTCTGCTAGGTCTAAATTAGCCACCCAGGAAGGCATCTCTGTGGGAAATAAGGAGACGAAATTCAGTTACACACTTGTTTTTTGTTACCATTTGCAAATTGTCTTTTGTTTCCACACATGTTAATATGTAAATACAAAGGTGTGCTTAGCTGCATGCACACAGGAACACATGTGTGCGTGTATGCGCACACACACACACATCTACACATACACACACATGCACACAGACCTGTGCGTGTGAACACAAGCACATACAGGAACACACACACACACATGCACACAAAACACTCTTGTGTAGCACATACTTTATTATTACAGTGATGTAGCTGCAGAAACTATACAAGGTGGCTTTGGATCTTGCTTATTTCATTGTCCTGTGTGGCTCCAGGCTGCTCTGACAGAATGTCTCACTCTGGTGTCACAGTCTGGTCTGCCCAACCTGAGAGTCTTTCTTGTAGGTGAAGAGCATCCTGGAGTCCAACTTCAAGTATCCCTGGAACATCCCCTTCACTCTGCAGCCTCAGCTCCTCGCCCCACTCCAGGGGGAGGGCCTGGCCATTACTTACGGATTGCTGAGCGAGTGTGGGCTGCAGATGGAGCTGAATAATCCCAGGTCAACTTGGGATCTGGAAGCCAAGATGCCCATGTCTGCGCTTTATGGGAGCCTGTCGTTCCTGCAGCAACTTGTAGAAGCCTAACCCTGCTCAGAGCCTGGCCCCAGCCCAGCCAGTGCTGAGTCCTGGATGCATTTGAGACATGGCACCATGGCGTACACGGGAGAGGAGTTTACTGTGCACGTTCTAGGTGTTGGCAATAATGATGCTAACTAAGTGTTCTTCTTTTGAATGTGCTATTCATTCACAATTATATAAATAATATGTTTTGGTCATAGTCGCCTCCCCTGTTGTCCTTTTTTAAAAATCCATCTCCTCCAAGCTTATCTACTAACTTCTCATTGAACATTTTTATGCTCTACTGCACTTAGTTAGGGTTGTTTGCAGGACTATGGGATTATTAACCTGAGAAAGTTAGTGTAACTTCCCAGAGGCTACACTGTTGAGCAATGTGACTCCTTGCCCAGCAGCATTAACTGCCTAGAGTGTCTTAGGGAGGGCTGGGTCCTTATGGGCTCCTCCTCTATCCATGGTGGAGTGTGGGTGGCCCTGGTCTCTCCTGGTCTTGTACAGGCAGTCCGTAGTCCTGCCAGATCATGGATGTAATAGCCATTTCATACATATCCTTGCTATGTCCACGAGTAAGTTTGCTGATGTCTGTCAAAACTCCTGAAATAGTCAGTTAAAAAGTTTTAAATACATTCATCTATGTGAAATAAAATAAATGCCACTTTTACTTAACTGTGTGCACTTTGATTCGTTTGTGTGAAAGGTGCTGGTGTCAGTAACTTTGAATTGTGTCTGGAATACATTGGGGATATTTCCAGGTAGGTAGTTAATAGTATGATCGCATATGACTTTTTCCAGGCATCCTCACTCATTTTATCCTCCTCCCTCCTCCTGGATCCATGCCTTTTTTAAATTAGACCCCTCATTTTCTCCATTTTCCCTGTCGAATCGCTTGTACCCTGCCACATCTCTCCCTATTGTCTTCTACTGTACCACACCTGCCATGGCGCATTTTTACTTTCCTGGTTTCTGTACTTGCTCTGAGATATATACTCACATCTGAAGCGTCTGAGCTAGGAGGCTCAAACGAGACAGAACACTTGTTTTCCTTTCTGGGTCTGGGTTACCTCCTCAACGAGATTTTCTCCAGTTCCATCCATTTCCCTCCAGGTTTCGAAAGTTCATCTTTCTTTACGACCGAATAGCATCCCACAGTGTGCATGTACATTTTCATTATCCATTCGTCAGTTGAAGGACATTTAGGTTCTTTCTATTTCTTTTTCTTTTTTGGTTTTTCGAGACATGGTTTCTCTGTATTATTTTGGAGGCTTCCCTGGAACTCGCTCTGTAGACCAGGCTGGCCTGGAACTCACAGAGATCCGCCTGCCTCTGCCTCCCAAGTGCTGGGATTAAAGGTGTGCGCCACCAACGCCCGGCATCTATTTCTTATTGTGAATAGAACAGCAATGGACTCGGTCAAGCAAAGGACTCAGCATCCTACTCCACATATGCTTGCTCATGAATTTGAAGGTTACTGGATGGAACTCTTAATTTCCAGGCTGGTGACATCACTCTGCTGTCCCACCAAACGACGACAATCTAAGTGGCTTCAAAGAAAAAAAAATCTATTCCTTTGTAGCTGTGGACACCAGAAGTCAAGGTATCCCCCTGTGCCTCTCAGAGCTTCACAGAGAATGACCGCTGCCTCTTCCTAATGTCTGGTGGCTGCTGGCTGTCCTGGGCTTTCCCTGCATCATCCCGGGTCCTGCCTCTATCCTTTGCTGGCCCCTCTTCTTTGAATGTCTTTTTTTTCTGCATCTGTCCTCCCTCCCCTAAGGACACACTGGCCTTTGGACTTGCTGTCTCTTTCAATCCAGAATGAAATATGTCTACAGAGGTCACACTTCCAAACGATAAGTTCTGAGGCTCCCGGTATGTGACTTATGGAGCAAACCCATATCTGAAGGGATTGAATTTGGTGTGGCTGTGGGCTCTGTCTTAGTCACTGCTCCAGTGCTGTGAAGACACCACGGCCATGGTAACTCATAAAATAAGGCACTTAACTGGGGCTTGCTTACAGTCTTAGAGGCTTAGTCCACTATCCCCATGGCAGACAGATGCGGTAGCTGAGAATTCTACATTCAGAGCTGCAGGCAGCAGGAAGAGAGAGAGACACTGGGCCTGGCTTGAGCTTTTGAAACCTTAAAGCTCACCACCAGTGACATACTTCCTCCAACAAGCCCACACTTACCTCAAGGCTGCACCTAATCCCTTTCAAATAGTACCACTTCCCAATGGCCAGGCATTCAAATATACAGGCGTATGGGGTCATTCCTAATTCAAAACGTCACAGGCTCCCAGCATACAGGACACGGGGAGGGTCCCACCTATGGCATTTGGAAAGCAGGTCTGGACGCACAGGGTGAAGTGAGAGCTGCTGGGAATGGGGTGGCCAGTTTTGGATTTCCCGTGGCCTAGAGAAACCTGTTCCCATTTCTTCCTGGGAACATTCAAAGACATTGGAAATGGCTATTGCTATCCATAGACCAGAAGGGAGCAGACACCAAGTGTGGCATCAGAACTGCTCTCAATGTCCAGGCCCTGTACAGTGTATTTCAAAAGATAAGCACCTGGAAATCAATGTGCTTGCCAACCCGACACACCTGGAAAGAGGCAACCTCGGGTGTGTAACATGAAGTTTTCTTTTGTCCCGGCTAGGCCCTGCCGTCGCTCCAGCCCCAAATGAACCCACAGATGCTTTATTGATTATAAAAGGGCTTCTTATTTGGCTAGCTCCGTTATTAACCCATAACTACTAATCCATGTATTTCCCCATGGTCTTGGCTTACTGGGGAATGCCGGGCCTGCAACTCGTTTGCCTGCAGCAGGACAGCTCAGCGTCTCCACGGAGAAGAGAACGATTTCCTGTTTGACCCCGCTGATATCCTGACTCTGCCCAGCTATGTCACTTCCTCTCTGGCCAACCAGTCAATCAGTGTTTTAGTCATCAGCCAATGAGAGAAACATATACACAGAGGAACACTCCCCATCACTGGTGACGGCCTGCCCCACCCATCTGATCGGTCTGTAGGCATGTTTCTTTATCGCTAATTGAGGTACAAGGACCTTGTCCACTGTGGGCAGGATCACTTTTGCGCAAGTGTTCCCGGGGTGCATAAGAAAACTAAGTGAGCAAGCCAGGGGTGCTAGCCAGTGAGCAGCGCTCCCCCTGGGTCTCTGCTTCAGTATTTTCCTTCAGACTCTCGCCTTGACTTCCCTGATAATGCACTGTAGCCAGACCGTTAACTCTCACCCCCAGACCGCGAAGAGACAGACTCGGGGTCTCTGCTGCGTCTGTCTTTCCTTCTTCCCATGTAGCCACATTGGTGAGCTCCTTTTCTGAGTTCTGCTATTAGTTTGGCTCTTAAAAAACCGGCTCATTGAAGATGGTTCCCAGACATGACATGGGCCACATGAGCCTGATAACACGGGGACTGTCTTGGAGACGATTTAAAGAAAATGTATGGATACTTAGGATTGTATCACTGTGGTTGAGCAATCCAAGACTAGCCGATTGTGCAGTGACATTCCAGCTTCTGCCAGCAGGTGGCAGCATCGTCCAGCAGCGAGCTGCTGGTTGGCACCCTCCCCACCCCCAACACGCTTTTTGTTCCCTCCCTGTTCGGTTAAGGTGGAATGGAATGGGAGAAACTAGGCATGGCAGGCAGAGGGGTTAACACTGGCCTCTTTTTCCATGCCGAAGCGGGCTCTCCCTCTTGAACACTGCACTGCTTGTGTGAGATAGCTCTCCAAACATCCCTGAAGAGAAAACCCGAGTTATGGGGGAACCTGGCATATTTCAGAAATATTTTAGAAAGTATGACTTGGTGAGATGTCAGCTGCGCATGCTGGAACTGTTGTGGGTTGTGTGATATATCAGATTGTCTCATTGCGGAGCAAAGGCTTCAGCTAGAAGTCTTAACTGCCTTGCAGTAAGTAGGGAAATAGTTCTTAGTGAGTGCAGACCGCCATAAAACCCATCCAGAACTGTAGAACCTTGGTTGATCCTCAAGAAAGCAAGGGTGGCGAAAATGCCAAGACTCAGTGTCTTGTTCGGAATACAAGGACTGTGCAGATATTGGAAAGTTGCCTCCCATGAGAAACTACATCCTAGCCCATCTTTCTATCAGACTAAATAAATAACATAAACAAAAGGCAGAGATAATCCAGCACAGCCCGTGCTGCTGAGGCCCTGCTTATATCCTGGTGTATGAACTTGAGGCTTGTTGTGAATCTGATATCGAGGCTAACGGGGAGATGAAGCCATGGGCAGAAGAAGATGGAGTTGTTTGATTTCTTGACATGAGGCTTGCTTTTTCCTCTTTAAGCTAATTTTTGGGTATCCTGGGACACTTGAGCAGACTTTAAAAAGCGTCCTTCCCCCAGGAGGTGTGATAAGTGACTGAGATCCCCAGCTAGATCTCACTTTCCCAGCATGCCTCACAGCATGCAGCAGACACATACTGTCTGCTGGAAGGTGTGTGGGCTTTGCAGCTGACCGTTCCCCACCCCCACCCCCGCCCCACTGTCGGCTGTACCTGGAGCAAATGTGGCATGTGAGCTAGTCACCGAGAGAGGAGGCTGCAGTGGCTTGCTGCCCACTCCACCGTCTCTCACCTGGGGATGGGTCCCCAGCCTGCCCGGAAGCTGGTAGTCTGGCCCGACAAGGAGTGGAGACAGACTGTGTGGGTGCGAACCCTGGCAAACTGCTGGGCATGGTACTCGTCTCTCAGACGCGAAGACCCGAGACAGGACGGAAGCCTTTATTTATGCTCAAGAAGTGCATGTCGGGAAGGTACCGAGGCTGTGCAGTCAGCCTTTTCGAAACTGAGCTGGCTGGGTGACCTTGCCGCAGTGACAACTTCCAAATGATCCCCAGCAGGATTTGTGTCCCAGGCTACTTTGCAATTCCGTGTGCTCCGAGAAGCAGAGCCTGCTCTAGCCCTGCCTTTGTAGACTGCCCTGGCCCTGCATAGGTCAAGGTCTTGAGTCCCTTTAACTGTAGCTCAGAAAGACCAGGAGTTAGGCAGATTGCTTGGTAGGCAGCTAGGGAGATGGGGCGTGGCTAGGTGAGAATGGAGGCAAGCTTCCAAGTTGCTTCTTTATCCTCTCCCTGTCTGTCTGTTCGACTCCTAGATATGACAGTAAGTTGGGGGGGGTGGGAGTTCCACTAGGAATCCCCCCTCATGTCTAACAGTTCTCTTTA